CAAATTTGATAGTACCCAAAGAAAGATCTTGACACAACTTGACACAAGAAATACACCTGTGAAATATGAAGGTCATAACCCTACCCAATCAAAAGTTATGGGCAAGGTTCAAGTTTGCAGACAAATAGATAAGCAGACAAACAAACGGATAGAGGAAAAACTATACATCCCTGAATCTTAGATTACGGGGACATAAAAACTGGTTTTCAGTCAAATCCCAGAGAATCCTTATCTAAACTCAAAACTTAAAATCTTAAGTAGCCAGAACACTACCATGTTTTAAATTATTATGATGGGGATGGGGGAATTGTACGATGAGCAAAACACCCGACCATAATGTAGCTTGGAAGGGATGGGCTGGATGTTGGGTGATACTAATTGCCTGGAGAATGACGATTCATGTCAATGCCAAAGAAAGACAGAATTCCAAGCCACGAACACAATATTAGAAACTGGTAACCCAGGTTCGTACTGCTACCTAAATAAAAGATTTTGATGATTTAAATAAATAAGGCACAATTTCTGTTCTTGCATATTCATTTATTATGACACTTTGTCTCATTTATATATTACATTCATTCATGGAAGCGAGCTTTGAGATCTTTCGTAAATAATGTATGTTTGGCACAAATAAATAATTACAAACAAAACATATGTATAACCTGCATATACATGTATAAAAGGCAGAGGTAATGGACATCTACTAACATTTTATAAACACTAGTCTAACATTCAATTTAAAGCTCATTCAATAAATAGTTCAGTCATTTTCACAATTAGACCTTATAAATAATCTCATCAGTTGGCATAATACTATTTTTCAACTGTTTTCAATCAATTTACAGAAAGGAAATGGCTTTTCAAAAATGGAAAAAGAGGCCCATGGGCCACATCGCTCACCTGAACACATTGGCTAGGAATACAGCAAAAAATCAGTTCAGTATTAAAAAGTTTACTTGGGGAAGAGGGAGGGGTTGGATTTTATACTTCTTGAAGATGCCTCCAAACCAATATAGCATATAACTTTGTTGTTCTTGAAAAGAAATTTTAAAGATTTTCTTCCTATATATTATTTTACAAAAATTCTATCCCCTATTGTGGCTCCTCCCTACCCACAGGGACATGATTCGAACAAATTTGAATGTTCACTACATGAGGATGCTTACATGTCAATATGACTAAACATAACTTTTCTGTTCTTGAGAAGATTTGTTCCTCTATTTTTTATGTAAAACGTTGATCCTGTATTGTGGCCCCACCCTACTCCCAGAGGGTTATGATTTGAACAAACTCGAATCTACACTACGATAAGATGTTTCCATATCATTATCACCAATCATGGCTTTGCTGTTCTTGAGAAGAAGATTGTTAAAGATATATATATATATATTAGGGATGTCAACGAGTACCCGGTTAACCGGGTACTCGATCGAACGTCCGAGTATCGAATACTAAAATCTGTATTCGGTTACTCGGATGTATATTTTTAAATATTTCTAAGCTTATTTATTTCTGCATTAAAACTTCGGTTTTAAACCATAAAATGTCCATTGCACTTGTACATACAGTAATTAAGGTTTCATGCGCCACTAAATGGCCGTTATCGCCTGTGGCAGTGTTTATACATGCAGTAATTACCGTGACCAAGCACCTGCTACCTACCTGGCTTTTCTCACCTTCGACTGTCTTCTACCCTTATTTTTAATTATTTGTTTTCATTGAACATCGTTTAAGGTCTATTATATGTTTAAATGCATTAGATAATTTTGTCAATTCTCCAAAAGCCCGTAAATTCTCGGGGAAAGATACAGACGGTATTGCACGTGCGATTGTTGATATGGATGCGTTTGATTAAGTGCCAATTAATGCAAATGGTTGAATGCAAAGGCTTTAAAAATCTTATATCCATCCTTGCACCAAACTACAACATACATGTACCGTCTCGTAATTTTATGAAGTCTAGGATCGAAAAGTGTACGAAGATCATAAATCCGCTCTGCTGTAGGAGAACTTGTTCAAGTTGATACTGTACGTGTAGCTCTGACGACTTATCACTTGGTCGTAAAACGCATCAAAGAGTTGCTTTATAATTAGGGAACAGATTATTTTTTTAAACAAAACCACTGTCTACCATTCATGATTTTATTTCTCGTATTTATCTGATAAATAAATTGAACTTTAAAAAAATGTTAGTTTAAATTTCGTCGAGTACAAAGTGGTCAAAATTGTTACAAAGCATTTGCAGGTAAACTCCCATCGGTTTTATTTCTACAAGAGTTTACAATGTTTTACAGTTATCAAATAACTTGTTCATATTTATATAGGAGTAGGTACAACGGAAAAACGTCCGAGTAACCGAATATTAAAAATTGACCGATTTGACATTTATATATATATATATATATATATATATATATATATATATATATATATATATATATATATATATATATATATATATATAAATTTTGAGGTCATGATTTAAACAAAATTGAATATACACTACCTAAGGATGCTCCCATGTAAATATTAGCATTCGGGCTTTGCTGTTCTTGAGAAGAAGATTTTTAAAGATATTTCCCACATATTTTTATGTAAAACTTTGATCCCCCATTGTGGCCCCACCCTGTCCCTGGGTGTCATGATTTGACCAAACTTAAGAAGAAGATTTTAAAAGATGCCATTAGTTTTTCACTAATTCATGATTATCTCCTCCTTGGAAGAGGGTGTGGCCCTTCATTTGAATTCCTTTTACTTAAGGATACTTCGTGGCGAGTTTAGTTAAATTGACCCTGTGGTTCTTGAGAAGAAGTCGAAAATGTGAAAAGCTTACAGACGGACAAACAGACAGACGGACACCAGACAAAATGTGATCAGAAAAAACTAGAAAAAAATCGTATATCATATGAAAATTAATTAGCATCATAAACTACTAAAAATATCATGAAAAGCTAATATGTTGTAATATTTTTTTGAAAGGAGAGGACAACGGAACTTTGAACATCTCTAAATGGATGTGGTATTTACAATTTAATGCTTTTGATAGTGAAGGCCCGTTCCTCCGTTCATGGAACAGGTCCTCCCTAGAAGGCCGAAAGTTTCCGAAAATGTTTGAAGTAATTTTGCTCTGGTGAATCAAGCCAGTGTTGTGTATCACTGGCTTAATTCATTCCCCAGACCGGAAAAGCCAAAGAAACATTTTAGAATAGACTTGTTTGGTCAGCAATGGGAACCTTAGATCTGTCTCCAAGCCTCTTACATTCTGGAAAATTTCCAAATTAAGGTCCGAAAGAAGAAAACTTAAAACAATTAACTGCCAAATAAAGAACTGCGAGAAAAAAGAGTTCGGGTGTCCCCTCCTTGGTCCCAAATGTGAAAGTTGTCTTTATCATGAAAACAAAACAAAAGAAACACCCCCCCAAAAAAAAAACAAACACAGGAAACCGAACAAAAATAAAACAATCACGTTATATAGGGGCCTCATTTCCTTGGTCTTAAAAATGTAAAATTTTCATCATATAAACAAAACAATCGATGTTATTCAGGCGGCTCATTTCCTTGGTTACAACAATCTAAAAATTATCTCTATCATAAATACAAAACAATCATCATGTTATTTAGGTGGCTCTTTTCCTTGGCCACAAAACTGTGAAAATTATCTTCATCAGATACACAAAACAATCGATATTATTTAGGTGGCTCACTTCCTTGCTTACAAAAATCTAACAATCATCTTTATCATAAATACAAAACAATAAAGGTTGTGTAGGTGGTCATTCAAGTGAAAATCACCCTTATCACAAAACGCTTATGGAACCACATCGCTCACCTGAGCACCGTGGATAGGAAAACTAGCAAAAATCATGCAGTTCAACTATGAAAAGCTTCACTGCATAAGTGGACCCAACCTATCCCTAAAAGGGGGATGGGCTATGATTCAAACAAAATTGAATCTACACTTAATATAGATGCTCATTTCTTAGACTAACTGTGACATTTTCCCTATAAGTTTTTACTTTATGGTTCCACCCTACCCCCGGGTCGTGATTTGAACAAATCTGAATATACACAATCTATAAATATACCTAAGCATGGCATTGCTCTTGAGTAGATTATATTTTTCAAGACTTTTCCTGTATATTCCTATGTAAAACTATAATTCGCCATTGTGGCCCATTCCTGCTCTGGGGGTCATGATTTGAACAAACCTGAATCTTCACTACCTGAGGGTGACATTAGTTTCATCTTTACCGGCACATTGGTTCTTGAGATTTTTAATTTCTAATATCTGTTACTAATTTGTAATTATTTCCCCTTAAAAGAGGGCGTGGCCCTTCGTTTGCATAAATTTGATTTTATTTTACCTACGGATACTCTGTGCCAAGTTTGGTTGAAATTTGGCCACTAGTTCTGGAGAAGAAGATGAAATTGTAAAAAGTTTACGAGGACAGACAAAGGACGCATTTCGATCAGAGGGCGTTTTTGAGCTCACTTGAGCTCAGATTAGCTAATAAAAACAGATTATCGACGTTATATAGATGGTTCTCCTTCTTGGTCACAAAAATTTGAAAAATATCTTTATCATTAAAAAAAAACAATCGACGTTAAATAGGTGGCTCATTTTCCTAATTAAAAAATCTGAAAATTATCTTCATCATAAAAATTATCGACGTTATGCAGATGGTCTAATTTAGTCTTCTCCGTTTTTCCTGTAAAAAAACAAACAAAACAATGTGTTAAAATGTTGTGTTATTAACAATAGGAAAGAGAGAGAGAGAGAGACATCTATAATTTTTTTCTTATTACTAATTTATACCAGCTTATTTACCAACAACATCGTGTGACATTATGTGAGAAAAGATGAAATACATGACTTTTGTATTATTATTAATAATATTTTTTTTTCTTTACTCACCTAAGGCAACAGCAAAGGCAGGCAAAAAATCGTCTCATTCTCTGAAATGTAAAAAAAAAAATCTTTTCTCAGTTTTCTAAATTCTTCTAAGGACATACCCATTCACAATTTTATCCTTCTAATTACAACAGTATTTCGATAGTATTTTTAACATTTTTTGTGGCAACAAAATTATTTCATATCATGAGAGCCGTCATACTCAAACTTAATTACCCCTTTTGGTTTAGAATCCTTCTTTCCATCTTCCTCATCTCCATCGTCTGTTTTGTCTTTTTTCTTTAGCTTCTTCTTTTCCTTTTTTCCATTTCCCTTCTTCTCCTTCTAAAATCCATGTAGTATTTAGTTAAATTCACCATGACTGAATTTATTTTTTTAAAAAAATCTCCTGCCTTCATACATATTGTTAGAGTACTTAAACTTACCTCTACTATTTCGGAAACTTTCTGTCCTTCTTCCTTTTCCTCCGCATTTTTGTCTTTTCCCTGCTCTGTTTCTTTTCCGTTCTTCTTTTCTTTAATTTCTCTTTCCTCCTCTTTTTTCTCTTCCTTCTTTATTACTGGGTTTTCCCCCTCCACATCCTCCACTTTATTCTAACATTTAAAAATTCAAGTTATATTTAAGTTTTTTTCTTCATAAAGTCATAATACTGAGTTTAAAACCAGCAATGAGCTTTATTGTAGATTTTTCTAATAGAACAACCTGGGGGCACAGTCAAAGCAATAGTTTATCAAGTTCACGTGTCTATTATGGTGTCAGCATAAACTCGTGGATAAGATTAGAGTACATGCTGGTGATTTTTAATAATTTAAAAAGTTATGTAAAAAGAAATTTAAGGTTGCGTATCATTACCGCTACATTTTCGAAATTTTCATGACCGCTACATAGTCATTACCGCTACAAAAAACGTTACATTACCGCTAAATATAAAAGTTTACAATATTGCATCATTGACCGATTATAGGTATAATTATTTATTTTTAAAAATAGTTTTTAATCCCCTCGCAACGCACTTTACATCGTAGGAACTATAGTAATGCGCTTATGAGGGTACATGGGGTATGTAAGCTGAATAGGGTTTGTGTGTGAGGGTGTGTGTGTATGTGTTAAATTGGACTGTGCAAAACGGAAATGACGTAATTTGCATCGGAATTGATTTATAATCTCTTTGCAAGAGGACGCTCCGCTTTGCGATGCCCTTGTTATATCTTTAAGTTAGAAACATTTTCTTTTTTCTGCAACTTCGTTCAAACTATTTATGATAAAACTGCAACATTAATTTTGAAAATAATTAAAAATTAGTAAATAATTGAAATATCTTCAACCCTGGCTGCAAACAGTATTAAAAAAAATCTGCACAGGGAATATATTTGCTCATACATTTCTGTGCAACATCTTACATTTTTAAAAGGGGGTTAGAGGTTTAAATATCACTTTAGCACCACGCTGTTAGTCTATTTTTTGTAAAAGGGAGAGCTGGAAGACTCATTACATTACTTTTCCTTTCTAGAGCTTCATTTTGAAGGGATAAGGAAAATTAGTTATCTGAGTATCAAAATAAAAATGAAATAGTGTCCCATAAAATACCTGCTGAGGTCGTAGTTTACTTAACCGAGACATCATCGCTGTAAGCCATCGGCGCTGAAACAAAAAATATAGTAGATGCAATGCAATATTATTTTATTATATTATAACTGAAAAATTTCTTGGTGTAAAAAAAATTATTAAATTTTGAAATTCGCCCCTTTTGGTAGAATCTTGAGGATCTGAATTAGATTTTTTTAAAATTTCACCCCTTTTGTTAAAATCCCAAGGATTTAAATTTTATCGTTTTTTTATTTTTTTAAAGATCCTTTTTAATAAGCGTACTCTGGTGTTGGTGTCTCTGGGTTCGTCGTCTGCGTAGGGGTCAAAGATTCCCCATCTGTGGTCATCCTGAGATACCTTCCATACTTTGTTTTCCTGCAAAGAAAAGCTTTCAATTAAAAAAAATAATTAAATTCTACAATTAAGATAAATGTTATACTATTATAAGTTCTTCAGCAATTTTTATAGGAAAGAGTTTACAGACGTATGTTCACATACCCGAATCGATCCTACTTCCTGTGTGTGCATGAATGGTGCACGCAATTCAGCCACTCTCCTGCGACTGAATGGCTATAAATAATTATAGAAGGAGATATGAATTGTGTCAAAACCATTTACCATATTAAGAGTATGCCATTATACCATTGGTAAGACTCAAGATACCATTGAATTTTAGATAGAAAAAGAAATTGTTCTACAATTAATTGAAAAATTTTATTGCATGATAATAGATAGACATATATATTTTCTAAGATTACTAGCATATATTTTTTAATATGAATTCTTGTTAATAAGCAAAATTCTCCAAAAAAAGTAATGGGAAAACTTGTACATACGTTTCCTCTCACAAGAGTTGTGAATATTTGTCAAACCCGTTGGTCAATGCAGAACTTGATAAATGGGAAATACTTTGGCCAACTTTTTCGGCCATTAACTACTTTTGACTGAGTCTCGTTTTCACATTCATTTTTTCTTCCAGTTGTACAGTTTTTTTTCGAGACAAGTTCTTACAAGAGGCCCATGGGCCACAACACTCGCATGAGTAACATTGGTGCTGTTCTTCACCAGATTAACCCCCCCCCCCACACACACACACACTTTCTTATACTTATTGTGGTCTCATTTCAAGGATCATGATTTGACCAATTTATAATCAAAACAGCATCAGAAAGCTCCCATATATTATGCTTTTTTGACCCAGTGGTTTATGCGAAGTTTTTTAAGATTTCAGTGAAAAAGTTTGATTCCTTTTTGCGATCGATCCCACCCTACCCAATGGTCATGATTGGAATAATTTAAATTTTACACTACTTCAGAAAGCTTCAACGATCATTTTCAGATTTTCTGGTCTAGTGGTTCTTAAGTAGAAGATTTTTAAAATATTCATTATATTTCATTGGAAAAAATGGATTCCTTATTGTGACCCCCCCCCTACGGCCTGGGGTCATGATACGATTTATTTATAATCTACATTGTCTCAGGATGCTTCCACATAAGTTTCAGCTTTATGACCCAGCGGTTCTCGAGAAGAATATTTTTTGAATTTTTCACTATACATTTCAATCTAAAAATTTGATTCCCTATTGTGATTACATCCAACCCCCAGATGTCATATATATGCTTTTGACAATTTAGAATCTACACTATCTCATAATTCTTTCACAAATGTTTCAGCTTTCCTGACCCAGATGAGAAGATTTTTTAATTACCCCAATCTGGTAATTTCCCTTTGTAAGAGGCCCTGATCCTTCGTTCTATTAATTTAGGCTCTCCTTCACCAAAAGATTCTTTGTACCAACTTAAATTAAAATTGGCTCAGTGGTTCTCGAGAAGTTTGAAAATCTGAAAAGTTTACAGACGGACGGACAGCTAGACAGACAGATGGACAACGAGTGATCAGTAAAGCTCACGTGAAAGAATATTATCATAATTTTTCTAGTTAAATGGTTCAATTGATTTTCATTCCATATTCTTTATAATCGTATAGATCTGAAAAAATAACTTTCAGCACGTCAACAGGAATTATCTACATCATAAAAGTACTGTACATGTGCATGAAAATTGAGTTGTTTTCAAAATGAAAGCGAATAAAGAAAAGTACATGCAATTTTAATTTAGATAGATATAACAAAATAAAATAGAAATTGCAAGGAAATATGTTTCTAAAATCGTGTGAGTGCTGATTACAAGTTTTTATGATGCACTCACTAAAGATTCATCGATATACTACAGTGACGTAGCATCGTTTTTGAAAGGGGGCATCTAGAGGGAAAAAATTCAACTTATCCGACGGGATGGACATTATCAAACTCGTTCTCAAACAGATTACTTTACCCTCGGTTGATTATACTGCACCAAAAAAGGGCTAGGGTGTTAAAACTTTCAATGAACATTTTCTGAAGAAAAAGTTATGTCTGATAAGAGGGAACCCCCTCCCCCAAATCCCTCGTGCTTGTACAATCGAAATGAATTTTTTTTACTTACAAGTTCTTCATCCAGATTTTCTCTAAGATCTCTGATGAACTGTCTGCCAGTGCTGAAAGTCGACAGGTTCTCATCGCTGCCCTGTGTCTGATTTTCAGGGTTATCGTCAGTGTTCTTTTCCGCCTAAATATAGGGTAGAAAAACATGTTTAAGCCACTCAAAGACAATTAGAAGATTTCCCCAAATTCTATTTTATTCGTAAAAAAAATTAACCCAGGTATAATCACAGGTACTTGTGGACAGGACCCCCCCCCCCCCCCCAAATATTGAACCCCGGGGCTTATTGGATTTTTTTTTCAAAAAAGATATTTATTACACTTATTCATCATGTGTACAATATGAGTCAAAATCCCAAAACAATCGCTCTACAAAAAATACCCACTATACATTATAAGGGAGAAAGGTATGCCACTCCGGTTTGTTTACGTTGTACCCCCACTGGTCTTAGGGTTTAAAAACATGTATTTATTTTATTTCAACCTAAAATGTCGATTCACATCGTCTCTGCATATATTTCTGTCTTAGTGCATGCTATCGGATTAACTCTGTATCTCGTAAGAATCCCACAATATCTGATTATCTCCTTAAACAGTTTTCCAGTCAGATAATCGCAACGGAAGTGCATAGAGAATGTTTTACTTTTTAGGATAACGTCCGAGAGAGTTTTGTCTGACGTAATAATCTCTCTCGGGTTTTATCATATATTCTCTATGCACTTCCGTTGCTTTTACTTAGGGAAATTTGAAACCGGAGTGGCACACCTTTCTCCCTTATAATGTATAGTGGGGTATTTTTTTGTGGAGCGATTGTTTACTTTTGGGGTTTTGACGATTTTTTTATATTGTACACATGATGAATGAGTGTAATAAATATAATTTTTAAAAAAAATGTCCAATAAGCCCCGGGGTTGAATATCGGGGGGGGGGGGGGTCCTGTCCACAAGTACCTGTGGGTATAATATGTTGTTATTTATTTATTCAAGTTGAATTGGTATATTCCCCCAATAACTATCCTTATTATCAGCTGATTTTTTACCTAAATAAACTGGATCCACAAGAGCACAAGCAGTCACACCTTATTTGATAGTGTCTTATTTGTTAATAATTTAATTCTGTTTGTATTCTTGTCTCTCATTGGTTGATTTCCAAAAAGGAACGCATAACATTTTGTATAATCTGGTTTGGTATGGGGACACACCCCCTTGACAACCAGCTGAATCATCTGTATCCATCAATCCCCTCATTTCCAGTCCTTCGGATTCATGAAAAATTCCAGATTTAATGAATGTACCTTTAACTTCAAACAGTTGCTCGATCTTACCTCATGTAAACAAGCATCATGGCTGCTAGATCTATGTATCAGTTTTTACCTCCCCTTGCTTCCCATCACTTCCGTTACTACGGTTGTATTATTGCGCGGTAAATTTGAACTAATAAAAACAACACAATTTTACATCCCCAGTTGTTTAATTATTTTAAAATTAAATTATAAGGAATGACTCTAATTCTTGGCCAGATTATCGAGTATAGTATGGTTTGGGTCAGTTTACGCTTTTTTATAATCCGCGAAGCGGATTATAAAAAAGCGTAAACTGACCCAAACCATACTATACTCGATAATCTGGCCAAGAATTAGAGTCATTCCTTAAGTGTTAGTTACTGGAAGTCAAACGAATTAAAAAGGGAGTCATCAAGGCTAAACACAAACATACATATACCGTATAAGCACCGACCAACTAACGGATTGCTACCGTATAAAACAATGGTTAACATATGATGAGAGACAGTTTTAGAACGCAAGGTTAACTGTCGCTTGGTCCGTCTTCAATTCTGTCTTGTTGTTACAGATGTCCAGTGCGAACATCAATGTATGCAGAACGGGCAAGTACAGGAGACTCACAAAACGCATGCTTACTGTACTTAAAACGGATATACCGTACTTTAAACAGATATACAGCAGTTGTAGCAGAAACCTTAGTCCGATGATGTCCGTTCCAAGTTTTGATTGATTTGATTGATTTGATTGATTGATTTGAACATATTTTATTGTAATATAATTACAAAGGGATTGAGCACAAGTACTGAATACTTATAACGCCCTCTCCCTAAAAGTTTTGATTGATTGATTGATTGATTGTATACTGTTTAACGTCACTCTCCAGAATATTTCACTGATATGGAGACGTCGCCATTGCAGGTGAAGGGCTGCAATTTTAGGCCTATGCTCGGCACTTACGACCTTTGAGCAGGGAGGGATCTTTATCGTGCCACACCTGCTGTGACACGGAGCCTCGGTCTGTACGGTCTCATCCGAAGGACCGCCCAATTTAGTCGCCTTTTACGACAAGCAAGGGGGTACTGAGGACCTATTCTAACCCGGATCCCCACGGGGCTCCAAGTTTTGAACAAACATGTATCAAAACTTACCGCTGGATAAAATGATCGTCACCGAACACGGGATGCACTCACAGAATAAAAAACGTACAAGAAACAGAAGCAAGGGGGGGGGGGGGTAGGATAAAATAACATCTGTTAGAAATATCCGTTAAAGTGTGACTGAGCCCTAACATATATACAACGTACATAGAAGAGATCATATATAAAACTCTTTCCAAGTCGGCTCAAAAAATAAAATAATATATCCTTGAAGACACCATTCCATAAAATATTTTGGTGATTGTAACGTCATAATAGATAAGTCAAAATAAGATAACTTTACATCATTAAAACTCACTATTGAAAGTAATGTTGATGCGTTGTCCTACGAAATAAACCATTCATATATACCTAAATAGAATCTAGTTAAATTCGTAAACACTTCCAGAAAGCTTGAATACTTACCATTTTGATTTTACCGCACTGTAAAATCTTTACATCTGAGGCCTATCAGATCTTTGTCTATTGTGACGTCATAATGAATGACGTAACCATACCTACTCGAATAATATAACAGACTATTTAGTTAATTTCGGACAAAACAAAGGGATATTTTTTTGTTTTTTGTTTTTCAATGCGACTTTTTTTATTATTCCAAATAGATTCATATAAGATCTCATTTTAAACGGTCATTTTTATATGTATATAAAAATATCTTTAAAAAGTTGTTAAAATAAATAAACCTTTCGTTTCCTTTCATTGTAAAATCTTTAAATTAAGACTTCGTATTCTAAATATATTTCAGAAACTTTCTAAAACATTTTCCGGGTAATAATGCAAAATTGATTACTTAATTGAGTAAATTTATAAATTAAATAAATAAATAAAATGAATAAAATAAATAAATGAATAAATAAATAAATAAATAAATAAAATTTAAATGAATTCGCGTCAACTCAAATTATAATTACTTATTTAGATTTGAATTTAAATTTAACATACCTTATAAATTTAAGGTCATTGAAACTTTGGTCTCTAGCTGCTCAACTCGTAACTTGACCGTCTCGTGAACACGACATCTAACCCGTAAACAACAAAAAGAATAGAAAGAAAAAGAACAAGATCAGAAAGAAAAGAATAAAATATTTCTTTTTGTAGTTTGTTATTCGTAGCCAGCTGAAGCCTTGTCATATTTCTGATTTTTGATGGGGAAGGAATATTTTCTATAGGGCCGGAACGCTTTTGACGATTAAAAAAATCAAATTGTACGTGTATTAGGGTGGGGATGTGGCTGATAATACGCGTCTTGATAATTTCGAGCAATGCCATATGCACGCAAATACTAGATTTTTTTTTTCAATGTTTGGTCTGATAAATCTGAATTCTTTAATCTCTTGATTATTGATAAATATTTAGTTCACGATCACTTTGCCTTGAGATAAAATGAGATTCCATTCATACATATTTTATTGAAAGGAGATGGAAAACTGTATGGAAACCTTTTTAGAAATACATGTATATGACATTATCTCTTGTTGGTTTGAATATTCTAAATAAGCATTGGCGTCGGAAGCAAATTGAAAGTGGGGGGGGGGGGGCTTAGTGAAAAAAAATTATACACGTACCTGCAAAAAAACCTGACAAGCAAAAAAAAAAGGGGGGGGGGGAAATGTCTATTTCCCAAACACGAATATCCTATTTCGTTTGGGAGCGGGGGGGGGGGGGGTGTTAGGTTCGAACTTCAGTACCAAAATTTTTTTTCCAAACACCACCACTTTCCCCTTCTTTAACCTATATTGCGATGTGTCTGTAGAAAGTGGGAGGGGGGGGGAGGGCTAAACCTACATCTACATGTACGAAGCAATGTTCAATGTCTATACTAAGTATATTTGGAAAAAAAAAGTGGGGGGGAGGGGGCTAAGCCCCCCACCCCCGGTTCCGACGCCTATGAAATTAGTTATTTAATGGATGGAAATATATTTTAAATTTTGAAACCAGTGAGTAAAAATAAAGTTAAGCACGTAAACGAGAAGCTGATATCAATTAGAACCAATTCTGGTTAATAAAAAAGTAAAAAGGTTTACTGAGAAAACAAAGAAATAAACAAAAAACTTCAGAATTCTCATTCCAGGCAATTATAAGAGATGTCAAATACAATAAATCGAAAAATTGTGTATGGCTAAGCCACTTCAACCAGTTTAACTTATCATGTTTATTGAATTAAAATTAATTCGACCCGAGATAAAAGACATCTGGATCTTACTTAGTTGGAAAAAACTTATAACAATACAATAAATACTTTAAAAGGATTGCTATATTATATTAAAGTATACAATTTTAAAGACGCGAAGTAAACAGATTCATTTTTTTTTTTTCGGAAATAAATATGGTTTCGCCTTAGGTTTTACAATTTTTTAGATAATCAGTCAAACGTTTTGTATAAGGGAAGAGCCATCCACTTTCAAAAGGAAGCTAATCTACATTGATCATTTGCCAACAAGTTCGCTGCGAGTGACAGAAATTATCTGGAAAATGGCACTTGGACTTTATTCACTTATAGAAGCAGTAATATTGTGTTTAAACGCAGTTTGCGTATTGCACGAAGAACGATTTTTGGCAAAAAGTAATGTAACGTTTGTTTTTATTTTCGAAAATTAATGTATTGGGTGTCAAATAACTGGTAAACACCATAGTCCATCATGAACAATATTTTATACAGTACTGTCCCGTTTTGGATATATTAAATATCTCAATTGGGAGTAATTTGAATGTATTCAGTGCAAAAATGCAAAATTATATATGGAAAATTTTGTAAATCAGCATAAACATACATACTCAATGTGGCAACAGGAGTCAAGAATGATATCACATTGACTTGTTCTTGCAAGATATACAGTCCAATTATCAATTGTTAACCTGTTGATAATATCAAGTCATCATAAAAAGTATGGCAAACAGACCCTAGACAAATGTACATTAGGGTGGACAGATATCATGGTATGCTTTCAATTCAGTATTATTAAAAAAGGAAGGGGTCAGTTTTTTCTAGGGGGAGTGGGGTCCAATGTCACGTTTAGGGTGAATTCACCATGCATCGGACACCCTTTTACTGCAACAAGTTCTAGTGATATCGCTACCGACGGAAAATTATCAAAATATATAAATTTTGGACACAGTGATATGCCTTTTATTGAGAAAATATCACCAAAAATCGAGTTTTTAAAAATAACTCGGAATTCACCATGGATCGGATATTATTTACAATGCATCAGACAGACGGTATTTTGACCGAAAAAATATCATACCTTAAGCACAGTGCTTTAAAGTCCTTGATATGGATATATTTTTATTTTTTATCTAAGAAATAACCCTCAACTTAAATTTAATTGATGATATGGTTGCACAAATGAAGAACGATTCGAGATAACTCACTCTGCCTTAGAAATGCTTTAAAATGCTTTTAATGCGGTAATTCGCGCCATTTTCTCATGGTTTATCAGACTCTGGTTTGTAGAAATAAATTGAGTCAAATTCTAGACGTAATATATCAATAATGTGTATTTTGACTGAAAATATAGAGTTTTTATTCTCTATTTCCCCAAAAAACAGCTGTCAGTTGGGTTTTGTATAAAAATGGTAGTGCTTACCTTTGCAACGGAAAGTGACCGATGCATGGTTAATTTGTGTCCGATGTACGGAGAAATGAACATACTAGTGTAAACCAGCTCTAAAAAAAGATTATACAAACATTGAAGAGAAACTTCTTTAAAATTTATGTAAAAATCTTTGAAAAAATTCACCAAAGTCTGACTCCTTAATGTACATTTGTCTTCCGTTGAAGTCGAATTTAAAAGAACGATAACTCTAAAAATTGCAAAATCATAAATTTTTGGTTATTCCCCTTTGATGATGTAAAATATTACGTAACTTCAAGGCCATTCTCGGAGTATTTTTATCACAACGTGATAAAAACAATCGGTATCATTAAAATTTTCAAATCTTCAGCTTCAAGACAGAAACAAATAAATACACGGAACTCTTAAATTGAAAGAGAGTTTATTGCCTAAAGTTGTTCGAAGCAAGGTATGTGTCCGATGCATGGTGAACTCACCCTGCTTGGTTTACTTCATAAATATTAAATAGGCCTACTTTATAAATATTAAATAACAGGAATACTATAACAATAGAATACTTTTTTTACTTTAAACGTTCATGTATTAAATTTTTAATTCAAGTATTTGATTTTTAGTTGGATGGGGATCAGATCAAAGAGGATTTGGTGAAGAGCCTGGAATGAAAACCCAATTATTAAATCTTATTCGATCAATTAGAACCGTCATGAGATGTAAGTATTTATAGCCATTTGTCAATATAATGTACATGTTGACAACAGATTGAAGAAGTATTAAGGCATTTGTATTTATTGTGAAGAAGTTGATAATGGATAACTAGGAGAAAAATGATATTGTGAAAAAATTACCCTATTTTTTTTTCTTAGAAAAATGCAAGGTTAGCAATTAAGCACTAAAGCTAGGTTTCTAATTTTAGAAAGAATTAATTGAAAGTAGTGATTTGACAAAATTGTTTAAGGTAGCATTACCATCTTAGCACTTAATGTAATGTTAGCAATATGCAATGTTAGCAATCTCAATATCTTTTCTAATTATGAATATGCAATGTTAGCAATCTCAGTACCGGTATCTTTTCTAATTATGCCAAAAATGAATCTTCACTAACATCTGCTTACATGGACTAATGGTATTGAAATTTAAAAACTTCTGGAGAATGCTAAATTCCCATCTGCCCTCCTTCCTTTTTAGTAATGCTGTTAAACAAAATTTTCTGGAACTCTAAGCTAATTCATTGTCCCATTCAAAATTTTAAAATACAGATCTTTTACACTATTTTACAGATAAATACACTTAGTCCATCTAGGTAACTGCATCCAGCTAATGCATCTGAAAACACGTTCTTTCAGTTTTCAGTGTACATGGTTTTCAAAGCACTGAAATCCCTCAAAAGGCGTGATCATTTCAATACTTTACAATCGGAAATTATTTTCAATGTCAGCTAGAGCATCTACAAAATACAAGCACAAGTAATACTTATCTCTTTTTATTTTGCAGTCCCACTCATAGGAATAAACATTGTGGTGATAGCACTAAAACTGGTCTTTGGATAATAACTCACTGTGATCATGACACAACTGTTAAAAATTACTCATCCATCAGGTGTATGGAAGGAACATTGGACCATACTTATGTGTTTGTTTTGAGAGATGCTGCAGATCATAGTCAGGATTGAGAGTTTTCTACATAGTCAAATGTTGAATATATGGGGAATTCCTTTCCAGTGCAGCTTGTGATATTTAATGTGCCTGTGTGAATGTGATGCATTCGGTGTAAAAATTGGTTCGTTTCATGCATTTTTGAACCATTTCTTATCCATTATATATGTTATTTATACCATAAACTGCCAAATTAAATGTGAACATTTGTGTTGTATCAGTTAAGAACAGGTTTTAATTTACATGTATATTTTACATGAAGTATTAGGTATACAGTGTGGATGTTTAAGGTGCAAAGTGACACTAAATTTTTTAACTTAGTAGATAAATTATTCAGTATAATAAATACTAACTTAAGACATAACAATAATGTGTATCATTTTTCATTACATTATATAAGAATGGAGTTCCAAGACTAGATTTGGAGATTTTATTAAATTAAGAGGTGTAAAAATATAAATACAGTCAAACTTTATTATCTCAGAGTGCATGGGACTGAGAAAAAACTTCAAGATATCCAATCCAAGGATTCAAGATATCTAGGGTAAAATAATTAAAGAAATTAGTGTTTGGAACGTCAATATAACTTCAACATATCCATTTTAGGACAATTCTTTTATCCTTGGACTTTCGTGACATTCTTGACTTTACATAATTAGGGTCTGATATTTACATAGCCTTCCATTCACGGTTGATATATACATGGGAAAGAAATTCGGGCAAATGTCAACAAGTGTAGCAAGGATTCAATGATAATGTTTCGGCAAAGAGGTCTCATTGTTGTCAAGAATAATTTAAAGTTGCTGATATTTTTAATTTTAATTTCTTAACCAATGAGAATCTATGTCGACATTTGAGAGACGCTAATTACATAGCATTGAGAATGCCATGCCTTACTGAAAGTCCAAGGATGACTTAGAATTGTGCTATTCAAGATCTAAGGGTTCGAGTACTCCTACAAGTAAGAGCCTCGGTTAACGTCCCTACGCTCCTGTTACGCGGCGCCATGTCAAAAGTATCTTGCGGTGAACCTCTAGCATGCTGGAGTAAGGGTTCGAGATACTGAAGTTCAACTGTATACATAAATAGATTTAACAACAGTAAAATGATTGATTATGTTTTCTGAAACTCATTACACATGATAGTGCAGTTTTTCTTCCGTTAAAATGTGTATATTTTATGTTTAAAGTTAAAGAGATAAAGAAAGTCTCAGTCAGAAAATTTTCACATATACCAAAGCTAAACCCAGGGATGGAAAATGTTTCATCCATCTTACAGAAAAAAACGTGGTCTTCTCACATCCAGATTGCTTTTTACACCTCTTCAAGCATGAACTCAAATTGAAAAACCAATGATTACGAATAAATTTTGAAATTTGCAACACTTATTTTTTTACTTGCAAAAAATTTTTTTGGTATCAAATGTCACCTTAATAAAATTCACACATAAAACATGAACTAAATATATCTCTTTCAAACAAATTTTTATTTGCAAAATCACACTGCATTCTCTTCAAATTGAACCCTAGTCATGATTTATGTACAAGTATTTGTTCTTTTTGAAAATATGTAGTATTATGCTAAAGGATTCAGAATTAATGCACATTATTGTCAAAGGGATCACCTTAATTTTGGATTTTAACTCAGCTCAAATATTTTCAATACGTTTCTGTTATCATCACCAACGTCGGTCAAAAAGAATTTATTGTGGTTGAAACCAATTGCTGCCGGGTGCTGAATACCCCCGGAAGTCGTCAGGATGGCACGTGATTGAGAACAGTCAGGGGTGAATTGCACGACATTGGAAGAAGTTTGTCCGCAGATATATACATTTCCCTCAAAGTCAATGTCAACACCACGTGCCCAGCGGATATCTTTGTGATGTATTTCTGATTTCACATCAAAATCTTCTCGGAGGATCAAACCACGCTTGTCTCGTGCGGCTGTTGTTTTCTGCGTCACGTAGATTTCGTTCGTGTACTTGTTGACGGTGATATGAAACGGTCGGTGCTCGAACATTGCTCTTCCGGCGCTGTCTTTCTTTATGGTATCGTTTACTGTTCCGTCCAATTCGATAATATTCAAACATGGAAGTGGTTTCTCCATTGGCAGAAGTACAAGCAATTCGTCGTTGAATTTTTCGATTCCGTAACAGACTTTGCCAAGAACGATAGAGTTGACCTCATTCATTTGGTCGTCTGCAATGGCGATGGTTGTGATTTCGCGAACGTTCGGTTGGGTTACTGCTACTGTAGCATTATCAACTTTGCAAATACCGAAAGGCTCAGATTGCAGAAGGAGTTTTGTTATAAAAACGCCGGTATCTCGGAACATTTTGACGCAGCGATTATGGAAATCGCAAACAATTAGGCGTCCGTCGGGCAAGTAGAGACCACTTGTGATGACACAGTCGATATTGTCTGATGGAAGCCTCACAAAGAAACGATGGATTTCCTTGGCCTTTCTTCCAAACATTGGTTTCATGCTTGAAATAGACTTTGGGATCCCTCGTTTGGCCCTTACAATTTTTATTTCCCCAAATTCCTGTATAACTGTAGGTAAATCGCGCACCTGTTTGTCCATTTTGAAAGAAAAATCCACATCTTCGGTTTTCTCTGAGGTTTCTATGGCTTTCTGTTTGTAATCCAAAGAGTTGGACTTCGCTTTCAAAATAGTTGACAGCAACTGCGAATCTCCACCGTAGGTTATGGTAGCTTCAACCATTTTCTTCGAATTCTCAACAGCTGATTGCAATATTTTGATTTCCCGCACTTGGTTGTCAATTTTGTCAACTTCCTCTCTGTGGGTCTCATTTAGTTTGTCTAGAAAGTTATTTTGAATATCATCGAGATGGCTGTTGATCTGTCGCCTGCATTCCTTGATTTTGCTTACGATCTCTTGCTTTCTGTTGGTGATATGAGTGCTCTGTCGCAAATTTTCTTGCACTATATCATCTAGACTTTGCAGACATTCGCTATACTGCTGAACAACTCTATCCAATTCTTCGGTAGATTTCAGTTCTTTTGCATAATCCTCTGATGTCATCACTCGTAAACAACGCCGATGTTCAACTGCAACACACGTTGGACAAGCAAGAACTTGATGGTCGTTGCAAAACAAATTAAGGTTTTCTTTGTGGCGCGTGCATTGCATGTTTTGACCCTCCCATAGCGTGGTTGGCTCTCTTGTAACCTTAGTTATCGAGACAGGTCCATGGTCAGGAAACATAGCATTGTGAAATGACAAACAGTTTCTACAGAGGCAGACTTTACAATGCTTGCACCACATATCGGCCTTGACGCCCTTTTTGTGCTGTCTGTCACAGGGTTCACATGTTTTCTCAGCCTTATCAAAACTAACCATGTCCATAACGCTTAAGATGAAATTATTGGTTGGAAACTGCTCGGCCCACATGGAAGCGTCGACAGTTGTATCGGTCGGAATAGCAGTAGTTCGACATGTCGGACAAGGAAAACCGCTCCATTTGACTGCCTTATCTTCCTGTATGAATTGGGTGACGTATCGGGATAGACACGACATACAAAACGTGTGCAAGCAGGGCAAACTTTTGGGATTTCGGAATTTGTTCATACAAATCGAGCACTTGGTTACGCTTTCATGTATGGACTCCCTGTTGCTAGTTGAAGGCAAAGGGTTCTTTCTGGACACTTTAGGAGCAGTGGTTTCCATATTTTCATTATAATCGGGCTCGCTATTTGAGTCTGAATGCTCGAGATCCTCAGAACTGTCCGTTGCGGAACGTATTCTTGGACTGTCTATCAGTTCTACCTTCTCTATCAAACCTGTCTCCCGATCTTTCTCATTGCTTTCAGTTAAATGTGGCGATTGCTGATCATTCAAGGGTTGCTCTTTTTGATTGTAGTCCTGAGAATAAGTCGCATTGCTCTCTGATATACTAGTATTCACACTTCCTCTATATGAGCGATACATCAGAAATCGACATATTCCCGGGTAGCCACTTTGTGAAATACTACTCGTTGACACTATATTCCTACAAATATAGAACGCTTAAATATATTTTATAATTTTCATGAACAGAGACTCTTATAAAGCTGTAATTAGTGAAAGTGACATAGTTAAATTTGCCAATACACAAAATTAAAGTCAACAAAACCAATGCTATGGAATTTCTTTGGTGTGCATTTAACGGCAGAGCGCTTCCATTGGAGAGAGTTGGCGGTATTATGTACTAAGTTTTATGTGTACTGTTAAATCTCTACGTATGATAAAAAGGTAATACATTGCTACATGTATATTTTACTTTGGGGGATTTTTTCTCCAGAAATTAAACTAAAAAGCCGTTAACTTCCGTGTTGTTTTTCATTAAGTTTGATAAAAAATGACATTTTAACACAAAAATTACATTAATTTAAGTTTAAATGCATTGCATGTGAAATCCTCTTTCGTAATCGCATAATTATCTATAGAAGAAAAACCTGTGTATTACGGCTTCTAGAGAGGAACATGTACATATAGAGAACATGTCCCCCTCCCCCATTTTTCCGTACTCATGATTTGTGGAAACTAGGGCCTCAAACGAATTAGTTCAAAAACACATCTATGTCTCATCTATACTAAACTTTGATATGAACAAAAAAAACCCAATAAATTATCAACTTTCTTATATTAACGCCGTAATTTTTTGCCCTATTATTTTTTTAAATGTAGGTGTCTGTCATGGAGTGATTGCATGTGTCTATTATTTGCGCTGTATAACGCGTTCACTTATTCAAGAGTTCATTGTAATTTCCTATTTTTATGTTCAAACTAATGTCAAACCTTTGAAATAGAATTAACATTACTGACAATTTTCTCATTTAATCAAACGTCATTGTACTCACAACTGACGTCAATAAAAAAAAAAGGAAGTTGAGAAAGGGACGCAACTTTAACAATTCTTGAACGTTTCTCACCTGAGACTGACAGTCACCGCGGCAAAAATTAGACCAATGGCAACCTGGCAGTTTTGAAAGGAATTTTTATTGATTGGGATTTCAGTTTTCATTGCATGTTGCAATCGATGATCAGCGCCTAGGTATAACATCTTACCTGAGATATGCAGGGACATTTCGGAACAAGGACCGTAACGGATTTTATCGATAACAATCGCTTGATTGGACTGGAGGTCCTGTAAACAACCCTATACCAAATTGATTATCATAAGTCATGGGTCAACTTGTGATCAATAATAGGTGTTTATGTCTAAAGTGAGACGATATGGGAAGAGATGAAAGGTAAGAATCGTCTATTTTTTTTCACTGTAGGAATTTTTCAAATGTTTATCGAGATGTGGTTAATTGATTAGAAATTGATCTATTGTTTGTATGGCCAGGTAAGGAAAAAAAAGGTAAGATTTCATTATCGACGCCGATTCACGTGGATACTGACTAAACATCACCAACTTTATAATCTTGTGACAATCTGACAACGTGGTATTACTGTCGTACAACTAATTACTTTCTTTAGAAGTCTGTGTATTGCGGGGGAAAATTCCTGTTAAACATTAATGCAAGTTACCAATTTAGAGCCCATTTACTGATGGTCGATGTACATCATCAGTTCAAACACTGTTTTCCCTATATCTAGTCACTTGCCATTTATTCAGTGGCAATATTAGTAAAAAAACAGACCATCTTTGCCTTAGATATTTTTTTCATGCATTTAAACAGGTATTTGTGTTATTCGTCCTTTTGTTGGTTTGTACTACTTGGTAAGCCGACATAATCATCAAGGCATTGACATCGTCTTTTTTATGTCCGTGTACCTGTCCTATCGTATGCCACCTGTCAAAGAACAACTACTGTCTGCCTCTTGTGTGTCATTCTACTCCATTGATTACCGGTGCCCAGGAGCGAAGTGTAATCGGCACAGAAACAAATTTGTCCCGTTACACACGGTTCACCGTTATTTATTTGAAAGATTTATCCCACCAGAAAATATACCGATTTTGGGATGTTATTTTTAATACGTGTCTTCGTAACAGCTGGATGAGATAATCGTTATACACCACTAAGACGCTTTCAATTTCAGTTTCGAATGGCTACATTTCATCTATGCATGTAATACATTTAAACATTATTTTTATCGTTTCACCGATCTTACTAAGATGGACAGATTCTCTCAATTATTAGATTGAAATTTCATGTATTAAAAAGATTGATTTGACCAAACGTTAATTGCCTAAAAGACGCGCAGTTTCAAAGAATCGTATTTCCTTTAAACTTCGACATGTACATAGCGTAGATTGGCACCGGTCTTGTTTTAGTGTTTCTTGTAGAATCAGATCTTGTAAATTATCATCAGGAACAACGTTTAAAAAGATTTTCCTCCTATAGGTAGACTTAATAGAGCTTTGTATTCAACACAAGGATGAAGGTTCCCTTCAAACATGCAAAATTAATGAAAAACATCAAGAACTTGCTTCCAGGTCGGCCACGGACATAAGTGAACATTTTATTGTATTTGTTATTCATCTGACGAAAAACAATTAAAATCAAAATCAAAAGTAGTAATGATACAGGAACTTTACTGAATTTTAAGAAATTCGCTGTTTCTTTTTCCTGAAAAGAAAAACTAAGTTACGCATGAATACAAAGGTGTAAAATAAGGACAGTACACCGCAATTACTGCAACCTTGCTATATGGGATGTTAAGGTGTGATTAAATATTTATCATTATTATGCTTCCTGTCAGTTTGTCTCTATATAACCCATACCCTACTATTCTCGCATAGTGGTCTAAGGATTTATATAGCGTAAGCATACTATGCCGAAATAGTGCACGGCTTTATTTACTGAATAAAATTCTTCTATGCACATGCCGGGGATCGAACTGACGACCATGAGATTGTCAGTCCGATGCCTTATCAATTACGTCATAGAGACGATCACTGATTGGTATAATTTTATGAAATATATAAACTTAATTTATACAATTGACACAAGAAGGAGAAAATAGACAAATATTATTTGAAAACAGTTATATTATTCTAAGGAACTTTAGATTAATGTGTACAACAAACTTTCAAACTAATTACATACAGATCGTTAGATGAACTGATTTTATAGGGTCATTAAAACGCTTTTTTATATGACGCTTGATTGAAGGATGTAAAAGAAAATTATCAATGAGAATCGACGTCTGCAAACAAATAAGGCTTACGAACAAAACAGAAAATAAAGATGCGTTGCTTTGGGACAGAAAATCCCGACTTATTTAGAGAAAATACTAGTAACCAAAATAACTAAGCATGCAAACAATTTTAGCATGAATATTTTGAATTAGTTCTTGCAGGTGCGCTGTTTAAGCACCGATATTTTCAGGAAAAAGTCAAATAGATTGCCGCATAAATAATTAACAGTCAGCATAATAATAACAATAGTGTTGCATTATGCATGTACTATGCCTAAATAGTAGGCAGGGTTTGACACATAGTGCACTCGCCTCCGGCTCGTGCACCATGTGTCAAACCCTGTTATTTAGGCATAGTACATGCATAATGCAAATATTATATAAATAGTGTTTAATGCGTAAAAAGATGCAGTGTCCTTGCAAGTAATTTTTTTTTTCAATTTACTTGTTAGTTATTGTTTTAAAATAAAAAAAAATCAGGATTCCACAGGAGTATACCATTAAGTTTATAAATTCAAACCTTGCTTTCGTTCAAGAATTTTTTTTTTTTGAAGACCACGCCTGCTATCATATTGAACTATGAAAAGGTGGATTCAAATAATTGTTTGCATTTGTATAAGTACTCTGATCTCGATGTGAATCTACTGTTTTTATTGTAGCTTAATCGTGAACTTTTGACCTCTGAAATTGTATTTAATTTACCCTGTAGCAAAGTTGTTTAATTTTCAGTAAGATTTCTTTTCTATTGGAGAAGAAGTTAGAACTATGAATTCAAAAATGCATGACAAGCGATAGACAGACAAACCAACAATATCTCAAAATGCCATACTGGATATATATAGGTCCTTCTTACATATCATTTCTGAAAAATTAAGACTTGGCCCATATAATTTTAAAGAAACAGCCTATTCGATATAGCAAGTCTCATTTTTTGAAAAGCATTATGCGATAAATTCCGAACTTTACCCACTATACCCGGATTCTGTCGTTATAAAGGCACATGCCCCCTCCTTATGATGCAACGAACTCGGTATCAGCGCACGCTGATGTGTCAATATTGACTTGAGATAAAGGATTACATAGTAGGCGGGATGATTGCCCGGTAGGTCTCTATAATCTCCGCAAATTAATGAGCATTGACTTTTTTCTTTTAAATTTATGATGATTTAGTATATTCCATGTGTGTAAAAAAAAACAACAACGCTCGTGCCTTAATGAACAGAGAGACCATTTGCATGCACTGTGATACGGGTATGTGGGGATGATGTGGCACACTTAGTTCACTTTCTTACACGTTTTAGCTCACCTGAGCTGAAAGCTCAAGTGAGCTTTTCAGATTACCCGTTGTTCGCCGTCCGTCCGTCTGTCTGTCTGTCCGTCCGTCTGTAAACTTTTTACATTTTTAACTTCTCAATTTTAACCAAATCGGTACAATGCATCCTTGGGTGAAGAGGAGTTGAAGTTGTTAAAATAAAGGGCCAAGTCCACTTACTAGGGGAGATAATCAAGAAAAGTAGGGTTGGTTCAAAAAAAAATCTTCTCAAGAACCAATGGGCCAGAAAAGCTGACACTTACGTGAAAGCATCCTGGAGTAGTGTAAATTGTTTAAATCATGACCCCCAGGGGGCCACAATAGGGAATCCAAGTTTTGCATTGAAACATATAGGGGAAAAATCTTCTTCAGAACCATTGGACTAGAAAAGCTGAAAGTTATGTAGAAGCATTTTGAGGTAGTGTATATTTTAAATTGTTTCAGTCAAGACCTCTGAGGGTAGGGTGGGGTCACAATAGGTATCACAAGGGGGAAATCTGGTAAAGATTGGCTAAAGTGTTACTCAGGTGAGTGATGTGGCCCATGGGCCTCTTGTTCCTCAGTGGAACACACCTTAATTAATTAACAAAGCTCCTTAAAATATGGAACACGTCGTAAGGTTTGAAAATTGAAATTTTTATATAAATTTTGTAGTTTTATCTTCAGTAACTCTGTAAATATTTTTAAATAAGGAAAGAAAAAAATAGAATGTGTCTATCAAATGATAATATAAATTTTCTCTGTCTATGAAATTGGATGATAAATTGAAAGACAAATTTCCATACAATATTCAATACTTGGTATGATTAAATACTTTTATGTTACTGGTATAACGTCAGTATGAGTTGTTAATTATCTTGATTATCTAAATATATATCTTTTAAGGTTTTTTAGGAAACCCAACTTCGATTTAGGAACGGTGCACTTTTATCAAAGGTGTTACTACGTTTACTTCTTATAGCCATTCCTAAAGGTTCTTCCGTTTCGTCTGAACACAAGAATCCATGGGATTTTGTCCTTTTATCGTAGTGTTTTTAGTGTGATTAGTTTTCTATATTTCCTTACTCATTGCCAAGTATAAACAAAAGCCTTTCCTCTTTCATTTCGCAAAGTTTGCATATCAGAAATTCAGGAATATTAGTTTTCCTTGCGTAAACAGGAATTTCGCCTAATATACACTATTACACCTCAATTTTTTCTTTGATAAAAATTGTTTAATGAAGTGTTTATTGAATTAATCAATGTGGAAACGATACAGCACAGCAAGTTCGATTTTTTTTTGTTCTAATTCAAATCTTTTTTATTTTCTTACTGAACCATAAAAAGCAAACACGTTATAATCTCAGCATACCATTGCATATAAATATTTCATTCATGTGTATATTGATCCCTGGGTGAAAAATATTGTGACAGTCCTTTAAGGGTGCTGGGTGGTGCTGGGTACCCTGAAAAGAATCAGGGGCAGTAAGCATATATGAGCTGCCCAATATTTTTAAAAAATTTTTTACACCAGTGCTATCGTTAAGTTGGTTTATTTTTCATATAATGATATGTCCAGTTTGATGTAAATAGCAATAAAATTTTCAACATTTGATTTGTAGTTGAGTTATCACGATGTGAAGTTGTGTGATTTTTCCGGAATTGAGAAATTTCCATCAAATTCTCACATTCCAAAGAAGATTTAGATATGGCCGCATGAAAACAACAGAGTAAAAATTTGATAGATTGTTTAAAATGACATAATAAATTATATCCCAAAATATCATTCTGTTGTTCGCATGCGGCCACCCTGAAAAATATAAAAAACGATGTTTTTTGAGGCCGATTTTGATCGCTTCCGGTTTCGGTTTTTATATTCAGACGTAAACAAAGTTGGAGGAAACAGAAAATGTGACAGTAGATTTATCGAAGTTCTAACCATTTAACAGGTAGGGATGAATTGAAAGTCAGAGTAATTGTAATTTTACATCCACTACTTACATGCACTGTTCAAAATTAAATCCCCTCCAAAACTTATTAATGATAAAAGATTCGACATGACAGACTCCGCGAACTCCATGAACTCGGGGGGACGGTAATCAATGCATGTCAAACAGTTGAAAATATGTATTTAAAATATATTAAACAGGAACACAACATGCTATCTTCTTTCAAATAAAAACTAAATTATAAAAAGTTGACTTATTCATCGATTTCTCTTTGATTTAGGCCCGAATATTCATGATTCATGAACCCTCGATCGGCCGGTTGATCTGCATGATTAGCCGCGTTTTATCAGTTGTGAAAATCTTTACATATACGGCATTAAAATATAAATATACTACATTTCTATGTTGGTGTTTATTACATATTTTTCTGTCTGAGTACAAATACAACCGAGTCTAGCGTTTGTGTATTCAAGAGACCTTACCCTGGTACCTGTGTACTTTGTGTAAATGTATGGTGTGCTATAACAGTCAAAAATAAAAAAAAATTGTAAGAGTTTTTTTTTTTTTTTTTTTTTTTTGTTGCAGAGACATATAAAACCATTGTAAATACAAAACCATGGTTTTATATGTCTCTGGTTGTTGTAAAACCGTTAAAGAAATAAAAAAAATTAGTTTCTTAAAAATAAGCTAACATCACTAAATCTAATTAATGTTCTTTGCAGAATAAATAATAATTATAAATAAAATTCTTTCTATTTTTCTTGTGGGAACAATGTATTTTTTGTTGTTTTTTAAACCAATTAATTAAAATATTATTAACGTAAAATTAAACTTTTGTAAGTATTAAAAAAAATAATTAGATTACCAAGGAATATTTCAAATTCATTTAAGTCACCATTTAGATGAAAAAAAAATGTTTGTCATTACAAGGTTCATCTTTTTTGTTTTAATTTAAAGTACACAATAATGTCTTTGCCTCTGATTTTATTCATTAAACTCAAATAGGTAAATCAATAAAACTGCTATTTAAATTGATTTCTTGAATGAAATAATTATATATTATACCTGGTAATATTAATACATGATTCCCTTTTTTCATATATAAAGAAAATCTTATGCAAATGTATATACACTGTACAAGTAACCCCCCCCCCTCCGTCCATAGTTATAGACAAAATGTGCATACATAACATATATAGTAATTTAATTTTGATATTCATATTTTAATTGTAGGATATGCCTGGAGATGGTCCAAAACAATATCCTGTTACTGGAGCTGTTACTTGTTGGTATTGTCAGTGCCGTGCCCATGTGGCCTCAATATTGTGGTTTCTTGGCTATGAAAGACACACAAACTTTGCAGTAAGACCTACTCAAGACTAGGCAGACTACCTTGATGCAGCTGTGCTTCCTGCAGTAATGGATGGCTCATCAGAAAGTGAAATGGGTGCAACGGAAGAGTGACATGAATTGCAACATTGGTTTATTGAGAGTGAACATTATTGAGAGTGAACATTCTGCAGATTATAGGCGTCTCCATATGTGTGAAAATTATCGAGAGGGATGTTAAACAATATACAATCAATCAATCAATCTGCAAGTTATGATATCCACTGCATTAGGCTCCCATTGTTGTTTTCAACAATATAGTGGAAGGCTGTGTATATATTGTTATTTATTAATTGTAAATAGGGATTTTTATGTATCTATGATTTTTTTTGTGTTTAAATTGTGATTTCTTAACATCTGTTATATAATCGAGAAATTAAAATATAGTACATTGTACATCCCAAAAACATATTAGATTCATTGCATGAGTTTAACAAGTTCGGTTGTAAATATTGAAAGATTAATTATGTACATTGACAAATGAAATGATTTGTTATTATCATATGATTATTCTTCATGAATAATTGTTATCAAAATTAATATACTGATGTAAAATACATAATGCATCACAAAATGTTTCTCAGATAATAGTAACAATTATAGTTTATTACGCAGCGTGTTTATTTGCATATTGAACTTTGTTAATAATTAACATGACTATATACAAGTACTTGTTATTTTTTGTAATACAATGTAATTACAAAACCTTTCCAGACAAACATGTACTAGTATAACTAATTCTTTGATACTTAGTTCATTTTTATGACATTGTGAGGATGATAAACATTATCTTATTATGAGTAAATGTAGTGTATAAGGCATGAGTGGTGTGATGTTAAACTTCTATGATCTTTTTGGTAAAAGTATAGGTGGGTGATGGTAGTTCTGGAATTTGTTTATGCAAACTGAAATCTCTTATTGTTATTTTTGTCAAGTTTTATGAATTGTTATTAAAAATGTTAGTTGAATACATTTCTTGTTTGTTCACTTTGTGCATTCAATGTATTTTTATGTTAAATACATAACAAGCAAATTCAAAGAATTGTGGTGCCCCGCTTTCGGTGTCTTTGTGAGTGAGATGTTATTTTTTCTGACATATTATGTCTAATATGAACACCATATCATATGTAATTTATTTAGTAATTATCATTGAAATTGATTTTTTTGAAGGATGAAAACCCTAATCCTGACCGTTAAAAACTTATGGCCAAAGTGAAAGTTTTAAAAGTAGGTCAACTCCAAGGTCAAGATCAAAGGGTCAAAGTTGTTGATATCCAATGAAAGGTCTTCTCACAAGGATTACGTATGTGAAGTATGAAAGTCCTAGCCATTACCGTTCAAAAGTTATGGTCAAGGTTAAAGTTTATTCATAAGTACGTAAATCTTTAAGGTCAAGGTCAAAGTTGTTGATATCCAATTAAAGCTCCTGCCACAAAGAATATATATGTGAAATATGAAAGTCTTATTATCTACCGTTCAAGAGTTGTGACCAAAGTTAAAGATTTTTAAAAGTAGTGAAAACTCCAATGTCAAGGTCAAAGGGTGAAAGTTGTTAGTATCCAATGAAAGGTCTTCTCAAAGGATTACATATGTGAAGTAGAAAGCCCTAGCTCTCACATTTCAAAAGCTATGGTCAAGGTTAAAGTTTATTCATAAGTACGTAAATCTCAAAGGTCAAGGTCAAAAGGTAAAGGTTGTTGGTATCCAATGAAAGGTCTTGACTCAAAGAATACATATGTGAAAAATAAATTCCTAGTATCTACTGTTTAAAAGTTGTGACCAAGGTTAAAGTTTAAAAAGTAGTTAAAACTCCAAGGTCAAGGGGTAAAAGTTGTTGGTATCCAATGGAAGGTCTTTTTACAAGGATTACATATGTGAAGTACGAAAGCCTTAGTCCTCACCGTTCAAAAGTAATGGTCAAGGTTAAAGTTTTTTCATAAGTACGTGGAACTCCATGGTCAAGGTCAAAAGGTCAAGGTTGTTGGTATCCATTGAAAGGTCTTGCCACAAAGAATACATATGTAAAATATGAAAGTCCTAGTACCTACTATTCAAAAGTTATGGCCAAAGTTAAGTTTGGAATTTTTGTGTAAAAGTGGGTTAAACTCAAAGGTCAAGGTCAAATGGTCAAATTTGGTGGTACCCAAAGAAAGGTCTTGTAATAAGGAATACACATGTGTAATATGAAAGTCATAACTCCGCTAAATCAAAAGTTATGGGCAAGGTTAAAGTCTTTGTGACTGACAGACTTACAGACTGACAGACAGATGAATAAGATTTAATGTACCCCCGCTTTCGCGAAAACTGGGGACAAAAACAACTGTTTTACATTCAAATCTGTTATTTCACCACTTTTAGCTAAAAAAAATAGTTTCTATTCACATGTTTAAGATCATTTCTGTTGTATTTGTATTAAACATCCATCTTTTATTTCTTTAATCATATTTACAGGGAAAAAATATTATTAAGAATTTCCAGAAATCAGTGAAAATAGTGTTATTTTTGTATTGACCCCCAAATGTCTTAATAGTGGTTTTTTCATCAAAATATGTCTAAAAAGGTGTGATTCAATCATAATTCTTTTAATATTTATAATATTTTGTCCATTATGGTTGGGGCATATTTAGGGTCTTAATGCCCCTGATTCTTTCACCTGAAATTTTTTAGCACAAAATGCAAATTATTAAGTAAAAAAAAAAAATCGCTTGCTATAATATTTATTTTTTATGCACTTTTGTGTACTATCAATTAAAATGATAAAGACCTTCATTTCCAGGAGGTTTTAAAAATAGTCTAAAAAATGGAAATTACCGCCAGGCCCTCTTGATTAATGATAAAACAGTTTTATTGCAGTTTTATCGAGATACGTAAACATGTACATGTACTTCCGATCTTTTTATCGAGTTTTTAAATAGAGTAAAATGTAAGACAAGGACACGACAATGACTAACATTAATTTCAATGGAAAACTAAGACATTTCAATCAAAGATTTTTTTTTTAATTTAAGATAACACTTTAGGTTTACACATTCACATCGCATCGTACTTCTTAAAAGTGATAAGTGATGATAAATTAAAATTTGAATTTATGATGTATGACTTAGGAAGTCTCATGGCAGCGATTATTGTTCCCCGCTCCCCACAACCAGGGAATATTAATTAAGATACGTTCGTCCGTCTATCTGTAGAATATAACAAATCGTCATGTATAGATTTATCTAGCAAAAGGCATTGAATACAACATTGAAAAAAATATCCAGCTGAGTTGTTTTTTTGTTTTTTGTTGTTGTTGTTTTTTTTTTTTATATACAAGAAACATGATTTTGGTATAACGTGTTATTAACAATTTGAAATACTATCAAATACCTCTCATAATATAATTTATTTTGTTTATTTTTTTTTTAATTTCACAGCACGAATTGCATGGAGGCCCACGCCTTTCTAAATGGCCTGTGTATGGAATGTTACGTCACATTGCTCACCATTCTAGACATCCTCTGCATCACCACAGAGCTCGTCATTAGACTGGGAATAATTAAAGGTATATGTTTAAGGGGGGACCTATGTCGTTCTACGTCAAAGCAGCGTTATGTGACGTCACAATAGCGACGTTTGATTTTACCTGACTTTTTCAACTGGGATATAGACATAACATGGTTAATAATCAATAACGTACACAATTCAAAAGAAAAAAAGAAACTAGATTCATCATTAATAACAGTTTTATTTAATTTATGGATGTTGTTGAAATCAGAATTCCCTTCCTTTGGGTTGATAATTCATAGCAATTTCATTTGTGAAGAAATGCCTAGATGATATGCTGATATAAAAGTGCAAAAAGATAAAATTCAGCAAAGAAAGCGGCTTAAATCAGGGAAATATGTTTAATTTTATGTTTATCATTAATTGTATTTTCTGGACAAAACTAAGAAAAAGATTAAGAAAGGTATTTGTGCCAATATTTGCTTAATGATTTATAGAACATGTAGATTTTATTGTATAAAGCCATTCCTAGGTTCTAATAGGTGTTGGTTGTTGACGGGGAAATGGGGGGGGGGGCGGAATAATTGGAATGAAGAAGAAAAGAATTAAACTGTTTGAATTGTTTCTAATCAAAACAAAATACTTGTTTTTCGCAAAATAGTTTTATATTCAGATGTTTGTCAGTGCTTAGTTACCTTTTTGTAGTGCAGAAAGGTCAATATATATGACACAGGAGTACGAAAATAAAAGAAAACGTCATATTTCTCGTTTATTTGATCATAAAGGTATACTTTTTTCTTTGTTGAAATAAAGATATGAATCAGTTCTTTCAAAAAATATGAATTACAGTATTTTCACACAAAGACTTTTTAAGATATTACCTATTATGCATGTCGGAATTGTAAAATATACGACAAGAAAAACGGGGTGATACTTACATTGTGCTCCATTATAATTTTTTATGCGAGATGAATTACAATGAATTTGCCTTCATTTTAAAGATACAAGTCATATAAATTAAATACCTGTTGATTTTGAATGTGATTTGAATTTTTGTTTCTTTTTAGCGCATATTCAGGGTAGAACAATAATGTCTGAAAATAATCTATTTTTAGCATTTCACAGTGTTTTTGCACGTGCTCCTGTGTAAAAATAAGCACATAAAGGTATTGTTTTTAATACCTAAAAATTAAGAGCAAGTGGTCAGGAAAGAAATGTCAAAGTTTTGAAAATTTCACACAAAGACTTTTCGGACATAGGTCCCCCCTTTTGTTTGTTGTTTAACGTTCCTCTCGACAATATTTCACTCATATGGAGACGCCACCACTTGCTGATGGAGAGCTTGTTTTGTCATACACTTAGGGCCATTGAGCAGTACGGGATCCTTTTTCGTGCTTGAACCTACTGCGACACGGGACTTCGGTTTATACGGTCTCATCCGAAGGACCGGTCTCCGCGTCCCACGTAGGGATTCGAACCCGCGACGTAAGGTTCAACTCCTTACTTGGCGAGTCTAAAGCAGACACTCTAACCACTTTGTGACTCTAGAGCAGACACTTTAACCACTTCGCACTCTAACCACTTCGCCACGCGGACGAATAATATTCTAATGAAACATGGCCAATGGATGGTGTGAACTTATAAACAAGAACCTCACGCTACCTTTCTCCATATATTATTCATGAGTTGAAACCATATGCAAATTAATGGCTGTTTGCACCCAACCGGGTGTCATATCTTTCATCTGATCAGACTTTCAGTATAGTTAACCGTCAGTTTTGTTGTGTATTAAAGCTTGGTCCATCGGGAACAACTGCTCTAGCTAGAAGTCAATATTGTTAAATTATGTTCAATCTCATTTTTAGAACGGAGGCTTAGTCAATTAATGTATTGATAGACACCTCTCTCTCCCTCCCGATTTGAAATTTGACAAGTAAATTTAGAGTAGTATCCATAGTAGATCTTAAAGGGGCAAATTGAGAGAAAAAAATGTCAGCACTTGATATGGCATTCCAAGATATTCTTAAACCAATATGGCAGATTTCTCAAATATTATTTAGAATATGCATTTAAAAATGAAAACAATTGTTATCATAGATACTAGTATAAGAACAAAAATTAATTATCATTAACTGTTTAAAACTCGATCAGTGCATGTTTTCAAGTGAGGTCATTCCAAATTTATTTTGTGTTTAACGTCCGCGTGCTTGGCATGATTTTTGATAGGCTAGATCTGGAAGAAAAAAAAAACAAACAAACAAAATCAGGTATCTTCAAATTAATTCTTTCTGTCAAAATATTGTGTCATTTTTTTCCCTTTATTTCTCTATATATATCTGACATATTTGGTACATATTAAGCGTTCGAAACCTTGATTTTCCTAAGACATAAACTGATCTATGAGAAAAGCAGATCAATGAAATCAAATCATTGGATTGACGTCATTTTTTAAATTATAAAGTCTATGCTTTGGTTTTTGTTGGGGTTTATCTATTTATTTTTGAACTGGTAGGTACATGTAGGTACTAGTACTTCAAAGATGAGGAGTGGACACTACACAGAGGATAAAATTGGAATGGCCTAGAAACAAACTCAGTGATACAGAGGCGAGATATGTAATGATACAAAAGTGCACATTTAGTGATATGAAAATACATGCATATCGTCTAAATATCAAACATAATTGCATGGAGCGGAAGATCTCGTGATTTAATAGTCAAAAAGAGGAGACTTGCATAACAAAATAATTAAAATTTACGTGGACGTAAATGGTATGGAAAATGTCGCATTTCCTTTGCGAAAATTATCCTAATGTGAACACACAGCCATGATAAAAAATAAAAAAATGTTTCATTTATTATTAGAAAGATGTCGGTTATAATACATGTATATGGCATTACGAATCGTGTACTGCTTCACAAGCTAAGATTTTAAGAACTGAATAAATTCTAGAAAATGTGAGATCAAGTACTCCTTAAATTCATATATATTTTAAAGATTTGAGCAAATAAACTTTCTTTAGATACGAGTATTGCAGCTATTCATCCTTATCTTTTGCAAAATGGTTCATAACTACATGCTAATGTACATGCACATGAATTTACTTGAATTTACATGGGCCTTTCAACCACTCTTGAATTGTTTTGCAACCACTCTTGAATTGTTGACAACTACCTAAGAAGCACAAAATCTCTTAGGTATTATAATGGACATATTTCATGTAGTTTAACAATTGATGGAAATTTGGAGGTATGCATCTATATATGCACATGCAATTGTAACATTGTAAATTGTAACATTATTCACGGGTGTATGTTAAGCTTTATTGCCATCTTGCACTTATAAATATACTTAGCATATTCTTAAGTCACAACTTTGCTAATTGCCATACATGTTGTAAATTCTGAATTTACCTGGTGGCAGTAAATACGAAATTTACATGTCACAGCTGAAGTTAATAACAATTTTATCAATATCAATAGACCCACACGCCGATCCTACGGAGAGCCCTCTGGTGTCCAGTCTCAATGTGACCACTGAAACTTACAATCCAGATCCAGGCGGAACGTGCCAGCAGTGCTCCATGGAAACCTCTCTAGATATCGCACACTGCGTGGTGCATTACTCCAGCGTCACCATCTCATGTGTATTCATGATTGAGGTGAGTAGTTTTAAAAATACTCTGAAAATTTGTGATTTTCATATTTTTTAAGTATGTCATTTGTAAGCCTTACATTGACTTTGACTCAACCTATTCAAGTTAGAATACGTTGTTCTAATTACCTCCAAACATTTTAGTCAAAGACTTAGACTTAAGCTATGCAAGCTATGCAAGAGCATGCTCTACGTATGAACAATTTCTAAAACGAGGTAAATTATTGACAAACAAGTTGATTAAACAAGAATATCAGTAGTCTCGTTTAAATCATCATTTTGTAAATTCTATGCTCGCTGCAATGACCTTGTCAGCAAATACATTATCGTTGAGTCAAATGCTGACTAACGTATTTCATACTTATTGTCAGTCCATTATTTATACACTGAATTGACAACTGATTTTTCTGTTATTTCCCGATCATAATAAGTAGCACACGGCTGGTATGACCGGTCGGCAGGGGTTGCTCACTCCCCCATGGCATCTGATCCCACCTCTGATGTTTTGGAGGTCCGTGTTTGCTCTGCTCCTATTTTGTATATTGTTTAATGGACTTTTGATCTTGGATACTGTTCTTAATCTCCATATGTGCTATTTTTCTCCAAGTTACATTTAGTCAGTGACTTAGATTTAAGTTACTCAAGTAAGACTACTGTGTCCACTTCTTCTCCAAGACATGTCTCAGTACGTTAGTGACTTAGACTTAAATTAATCAAGTAAGAGTACAAGGTTACATTCTTTCTAAGTCATATTTCAGTCAGAGACTTACTTAGACTTATGCTATTCAAGCAAATTTTAAAACCATGGTTATCTTTTGAAAATTTCCGACTGGAATATGAGGTTAAATCACTGGCGGAATGATTAAACCTCATTTTCCAGTCGGAAATGATTCACTCGAGTATTTAAGTCTGGAATAATTTAACCGAACATTCCAGCTAGATTCATCTTGACTTTTTCAATCTGCATTTATTTCTGGATTGATTAAACCAGTCTTGACAGAATTCATCGAGTTTTTCAGTATGTTAAATATTTTTTTGTAGATATTTCGAGACTCTCTGGATAACACTGTATTAATCTCTTTAAAGTTGTCTTTTGTTCCCTGAACGATAGCTTATTGACATGCTAGGATCTTAGAAATACCTGGTACTTTATACTAGATAATCTAAACAACCCAGTCATATGAATCAGGATTATATTTCACAAAACTTCTGAATCTGATACATGAGATTTTTACTCCTGCAAATCGATTTGACCCGGTACAAAGAATATTACATGTACACCCATGTCTTTTACTTTTGTGCAAAAGATAACCATGGTTTTCAAAATTTGCTTTTTAAGCCGCCGAGGCCGAAAAATTTCGCATTGTCTCATCATGCTCAGATTTCAAAGTGCATGTTTATAATCATTCAATATTACTCCAATTCTTCAAAGGACGCCAATAAACTTTTCATAATTCTTGTGATGCGATTAAAAAGAAATTGAAAAAACATATTCCTTTAATATTCGAGAGGGGGAAAAGGGGTATGATAAATTCTATAAAAATTAAATGTTGAATACTTTATGGCTAAAAAAAGGTGGAGATGGGAATACATGTTGTAAATAATTTTTTTTTGCCATGAGCTAAATTATGTTTTTCTTTCACGTAAAGGTGGTGGCACGGGTTGTTGCTGGATGTCCAGGCTGCTGGAAAGATGTTCTTAACGTAAGTTTGTTTTCTTCATCTAGCTTGTCCTGTTTAGGAATAAAATCTTCAAAAGATGAAATACTTCTTAATACACCGATTCAAAGTATCCAAACTTTGGAACATGACCATTAAATGTTCTGGGTTATTTTTTCTTCTCTTTCTAGCTATTAGTCTAGATAATAAAAAAGCGCCCAAATAATCCAATATTAATATACTAGTATTCAATAAATGCGGCTTTTTAAGTTGTGTGTGTGTGTGTTATGGGTGGCATTTTGCTACAATGTGCAATTAACATGAACACCATAATATAAATACGTACATATATGAGTAAAGTCTTGTTTTAAGGCACCGCGTACAGTTATTTACAAGGTATCGGTGGTCAAAATGGGCGAGGTCCGACCGTCAGACAGCTTTTTATTACGGACAATAAACACTGTAAACGATAATAAAACGATAATGCCAAAAAAACAATACATAACTTACGTTCAGACATTTATTGTTATCCGATTTCACTGTTCCGGCATTCAGTGGTATATAATGATTACCAAAAAATGTATATGAAGCTTTAGAAATACTAGTATATATATGTTCCAAGGCCTTATCACTGTTATTAATTCATCATTCAAATCTTTCCAGTTGTAATTAAATGACGCAATTTTTCCTTTTTTGTCTCTTTCACATAAAGCCATTTTTGTTGTAAGAATTTAGCCATGTGGAATACTGATTGTAGACACACGGAAAACTAAATCTAAATCCTTTGAAGTAGTTTCAGATAAGTTTGCTCTGATGGACAGTCACTCGTTGTTCATTATAGTACAATTCTCAGTTAACCTTGGACTTTCAGTAAGGCGTGGTATTCTCGACGTTACAGAATAGCGTTTGAAATTTACACAGCCTTTTATTCACTGTTGAAATATACATTCCGGCGAATGTCAACGAGTGTATCAATGAACCAATGATATCGTTTCTTACGGCAGAGAGGTTAGGCTTAAGTCGTCTCATCGTTGTCAACAACAATTTTAAAGTTGCTGATGTTATTAATTTCTTAACCAATGAGAATCTATTCGCCATTTAGAGACGTTAATTACGTAGTGTCGAGAAAGTCACCCTACTGAAAGTCCAAGGTTAACTGAGAATCGTACTATCACACGAACAAAATATATTTACACATTGTTTGAAAGGTGCGAAAAAAATGAGACGCGGTCGATGGGGCATGCTTATCCCTAAATGGTACCTGATCCCATCTCTGATATTTTTAAAGGTCCGAGTTTGCTTTGCGCCCAATTTGTATTATTTCAGTTGACTTTTGAGACTGATTACTCTTCAATATCTCAAAATTTCATTTTAACCTATGACAATACAATTGCTCCAATTTAACATCTTTTTTAATTTGTACGCTTTTTCTTTCAATTCTTACTCATGTTGTTTTATTTTCAGGTTTTTGATGGTTTTGTTGTACTATCTGTCTGTTCTATGGAAGTTCTGTTTACCGTGTTTTGGAATGACGTCATCTGTTACCACGTGGCAGTAGAGGCAGCCACTTATGTGGTGGCTCTTCGCTTTCTCCGAATTCCAAGAGCTTGCAGTGGTAAAGATATGCTAAAGTTATAATGCTAGATAAGAACTAATGGTTTCTTCATCACTAGGTTTGTGGACAGAAATCGTTATCCTGTATTTATTTTAAATGGGTATATAATTTTTTTTTCGCTTCAGTTCGAAAGAGAATTTATGCGGAACGATTAGAAAACGAAATGCACTACTTAAGGAAGGCAAAATCTAAATCAGAAGAGCATTCAAGGGAGCTTGCCACAAAACTAAAACGCCAACAGGTAAATATCCTTTGAAGTAGTCGATACGATACATTGAATTAATGTGGGTACAACATGGTTAGCTTTCATTTTTTCGCCGTGTTGCATTAAATTTAATTTGGATTGCTGTACATTTATTTTCAGAAAGAAATACTAGAATTACAAAACCGACTATCAACAGCATCGATGGACTATACACATGAAAATATATCATCTATATCAATCAGCGATTTAAGTAGGAATTTTCCTGTCATCTTTAATTGTTGCAATTAATACTGGTATATTAAAGTAAAAAAGTCTACAAACGGCAACCGATTTTTGAATAAAAGTTAATTTTTCTGATTAAATTACTATTTTAATTTCCCTTTTGTGATAGGTATTCCTCAGATAAGTAATGGAACCTTGCCTAACGGGTTCCACACCACCTCACTTGATGAGCTAGACTCTGTTACGTCATCAATTACTGCTGCCAAACAAGCTGATCTTACAGACACCAAAGAAAACGGCCCAAAGGAATCGGCTTCAAGACAGAGTAGTGTGCAATATAATTCCCTTCTCAGTGAAATTAACTCAAAACGAGATGAAATTAATAAAAAGAGTCTCAAACTAAAACCGGGTCACTCCCGAAACACGTCTCCAAAGAAAGAGGCAAATGATCACGAAGTGATCTACTCCAACGCACATGAGACTACTTACATGAACACTTCCGGTATGTATGACGGTTGTGGCGGGAGTTACCATGACAGTAATGCAACTGACATTGTGTACCAGTTGGATAAAATCATTAGAGACAATCAGTCGAATGGCACGGTATCCGCCATTAGGGATTCTGCGCAGTCCGCACAGTCTGTGGAAACGGATGATGATGAAGCACTCCTTATAAGAAGTGAGAGTCGTACCGAGTTTACATCGGATGTCTGTTTTGTTGCTTGATTATTGTATTTTTAAAACACATAAGCATATTCATATGCTAATTATACACGAATTTAATGATAAATCAAAGCACCATGAAAAATTGTGTATCCTGTAACAACTTAGGCATTTTTCAAGATGTCCGCATTTTTGTCTCCTGCAATTGGACGATTTTTTTTCTATTGTATTTTCAGGAAGTTATGGTGCTAAATCTGGTTCCCATGTTCGAGCCTCGTTTGCAGGAAGAGAGAATAAAGCGTTTAGTTACGGAGACAAGACTAGGGCTTCGTTTACAACTGCCCGCGAAAGTAGAACCAGTTTTCATCCTGGACCTGAGGTTAACGAAGTAGTCAAAATGAGAAATCTAGAAGTAATGGCTGAGTATGAGGGAACAAGAACGTACCGTAGTGCTGTAAGTTAATTTTGTTTCTTATTCAGTAGGTCGTTAATATCAGGGATGTAGCATCGTTTTTGAAGGGGGGGGGGCGAAAAGACAAAAAATCTTGAAAAGCAAAAGAAAAGGGGGATTTCCTAAACTCGAAAATCCTTAAATTTATATTATCCTATTGCATAGGAGGGAGGGGTGGTAACCGGACTTTCAATGAACAAAGTTATGTCTGGAAATAAGTGGATGGGGGCAACCGGACTCTCAAGAGCCTCTACTCTATAGAGTGGATCCGTACATCGCGGATACGAATCCCGTTGCGGGACGTGAAGACCGATCTTTCGGGTGTGAACCTAGATCTGTGTAGCTGTAAGTGCTAGCACAAAAAAATTCCTCGCTGCTCAGTGCCCTCAACTGCCAAGTATTTGTAAACTGCATTCTTCCATCGGCATGTGGTAGCGTATCCATGTGAATAAAAAAAAATCCCAAGAGGAACATTAAACAACAACAAAAAAATGAGAGAGAGAGAGAGAGAGGTGGATCTAGAATAATTTTGTTACGTGGTGTCAAGAATTGACAACAAGTACCCCAAAACTCAAAAAACATTATTTCCTGTCATAATAATATTATTTATTTTGTGTTTGTACTCGGAACCACATGCTTGGTATTAGCTCTTCCATTTATGGTTTTTTAGGGGTATAAATGGTCATTTTGGGATGTACTGGAAGCCTTGGTAACTCGGAAATGTAAATATATGTTTCGTTAATCTACCTTAATATACTAGTATATGTTAATTCTTTTTTTCTTTTTTCAGGAGGGCATTCCACTTACAGACCTTTAGATTTTACAAGATCCCCCTGCTGGAACAGGAAGTTTTGATGGCCTGTATTTATCCTACTTATTGTAAAGACCAAACCAAAACCTGTCTCTGATTACCCCCCTTTTTTACATTTTGTTCATTTCCTAAATATATATCAGTAGTGCAATAACGATGCTTTCTCAGAATTAAGATTGTGTTAAAATGTCATTGTCATACGTATATTTTTGACTTGCAAAATTACGGTATGGTAATATTCAATACTGAATAATTTTTCATTACTAATTTCGGCAGTAATTTCAAAAGAACGCGGGTGAAAAAGTGGTAAATGCCTACGGCTGGACACAGAAGCAATTAAGTTTAAAAATCATCAATTACATCTTTTAATGAAGCTACATGTAGATGAAATCAATATATTATAAACATATTTAGTTTATTTACTCTTTAAAATGAAACATGGAACAATCCCAGTAGTGCTAGAAGTATGTAATATTTAAGCTGTAAAATGGCATAAACACACCGACGTTGGCAAAATTGATATTAATTTTCGCGAACATGTTTATTACAGTTTTTTTCTTTGTGAATAGATTCGAAATTAATTTTATTGAAAGAATATTTTCTAAAGTTGAGTTATGATATATAAAAAGAGAGTACATTAATCATAAAAAGTACTCATTTATTCCAATGCAATTGTATTTTTATTCAACCATTTCGATAGCTGCAGGACTGTAGCTCTTCAGAAAAATAATAGGGGTACATTGGCAGAATCTGATCATACCTCCCATCGAGGTACAGATCAGCAGCCACTTATTCAGGGGACAAGTTATGCATTCCATTAAATTACATCAGTGATAAAAACATTGCATTTAATTATTACTAATTTGATAGCTATTCGATTGGGGCATTTAATACACCTCTTTCACCCATGTTCTTTTCAATTTTCTTCCACAGTACTGTAACTTTTCCGAGAATGATTTTATCGTTTTTTCTTCATGCTTTATACCATGTCTTTCTTAATAATTATAATATCATATAATATCAAAACTTAAAGAACCCATAAGACATGATCAGTTGGTTAATTAATTAAGCTATGTAAATTATATTCTGATTGAAACCAAAAATAATGCAATACTTGGCATTGTTGAAATGCGGGTCGTTTTTGCGATGCTTGATCCTTGGATATACATGTATTTAGTCTGTGATTTTATTTTAATAAATAAATAGCAATATGTCATATTTAAATAAATTAATAGCAATATATGTCAGGTGTGAATGTCAATATTTTTTTTATAGCCACCCCGTTCCTTCTTAGTGTATTTAATCTCCATTCAAATAAATGTATGACTGTATATTAATTCGTAGAAGATGAATGCATCCTGCTTAGAATTTGAACTGTGCATAAACATGAACATGTAGAGCTTTCATATTTTTGTATTATTGTATTTACTATATGCGAAATATACATATTGATGTATTTTTATGGTTATATTCGTTGAAGATTGTTTTGCTTTCTAAATAATATATGTGACAATAAAATGTTATCCAAATAATTTTAATGTCTTAAAATTAATTGAAAAAGACATTGGTTGATGTTATAATTCACTGAAAGGGGGGGGGGGCTTACACTATCAGTATTTTAGATGCATGTGACTTTTAGAAATAACGATTTTAATTCAATAAAGAACATTATACCCTTTGTGAATTGTGGGTCCAGCACTACAAACGGAGATAACTCTTGAATACACGTGTTCCTTTAATACCAGAAACCAGGGTCCAACATTTCCACCGAATAAATAACAACAGAAACTTTTACATTTATACTTGTATTTAAAATTAAGTTTAATAACATAATTTTCAGGACTTCAATTTGATGGGAAGGGGTACATGTATAAACGTAGAAAATTGCCCTTTTCGGGAAAACGGGAGGGGGGATTTAATTCCAATGAGACTTGGGCCTTGTTCAATCCAAAAGTTACATATTTAATTAAAACTGATATCTACAAACATTGGTTGGGAGAGGAAAAAGTTATTAACACTGCAATATTTAAATATGCATAGTACAGTTTATATCTTAATAAAAAACAAGTTTGCTTTATAAAGTCACAAACCTGTTATTTTGTGAAACATAAGAACATCATGGTATGACCATTCCACATGTTAAGTATTGTTAGAAAATAATACAATTACAATAAATTACAATTAAAATATTAGAGAAACTTTCTTTCATAATGTTAATTTAAATAGAACTGTAGCTCCATTTGAAAATTTGAACATTTTAATGAAAAATCATCAGAGACAAACTGCCAAGTTTTTGAATTTATGTTTTTCACTAAGACAAAATTATTTATATCAATCAAATTAATATTATAATGTCCATCATGCGCGCTTTAAATGATTATAGTAATACTGTACATATATTAAAGTGACATATAGGTCCAATTGGCCGGGTGTGATGTATATACGTTTATATTGCATTTACTTGTTGTCTATACACATGTCACTATAATAAAATATTCACTAATACTACAATGCACACAGTTCTGAATTTAATTCCATCATGGCAGTATTGATGAGAAAATTAATCCTTTACTTAAAATTTACAGGCAAAAATGTTAAATAAAACACTGACAAACTCTGCTAATAAATGAACATTCAATTAATTGTATAATTTGTTAATATGTATCCATCTGAGATTTTGTTATTTAATGTTAAAAAAAGTATAAAACAAAGTGCACAAGCCCAGAATTGAGACACGGGAGTGACTTTGTGTAGATTGTTATTAAGCTCCCTGAAATAATTCAAAAGGTACATCATATAAAGCTATAAATGCATCAATTCATAAATGTATGATGAATCAAAAAATACATAGCATCAAAAACAACAAATTCTTTCTCCAAATATTATGAATATCAATCATTATTACACGATGATAAAGAAAAATCTAAAAATTCAGCTTTGTGTAATTTCAAATATTTTGTTAAAAATGAAGAGTTTTTTTTTTCAATAAGTTCATGGCATATCAATATATAAAGCACAGGTTTTGTTCTTAAATGAAAGTGCTACTTTGATCTGATTTTCAACAAAGATAAATTATCATTATCTAATAACACACGCTAATGATAAAATGTACAATATCTTACAAAATACTGTTTAATATACACAGTCAAACCTCATTAACTCAAACTTGATAGACTGAGAATATACATTTTCAAGGATTCAAGATATACAGGGCAAATATTAGAGATTTAAGATCATGAGACTAGAAATTCACTTCTACATATCCATGGTATTCAAGAAATCAGTGTATGGAGAAACCCATGTTCAACTGTAGTTTAAAGCAATTATATAACCTTGAAAAATTAACTATCTAATATTTGAACACACTATAATTTTACATTTTAAAGCTATTGTCAAGAAGATAAAATAATTGCAAAACCCTCACTAAATTTGTTTTAGAATGTGAAGTGGTACATTGATAAGACATTCACACACTGTCATAAAATCATCACTTATACATTTGTGTTTAAAGAGTTTTGCAATGTTCTAATAATGCTACATGTTCTTTTCTCTTAAATCATCTTAAAATGAAATACTGTTTATTAATATATTGCAAACATCAATTTTTAATTTAAATTAAAAAGATAACATTTTTCAAATTCAAAATCATTTTAAAGCTTGTTTACATGTAATAATGTCAATGATTGTTAAAAAAAGCAAACTCCCTATCAATTTACTAAGCCAACTTTTATTCGTGATGTCTTTATTTCACGATTTTATGAAGGCAAACTACCGGTAGTTCACGACGATTAATTTTTCGTGATGAAGCCTTTTTTTGATCTGTTGTTAATAGACACAGACTTTAAGGATCGGTTCGCAGTTAGAAATATTCGCGATGACGACTCTCTCAAAACTCGCAAAAAATTTCTCACACGCAAATAAAAGTTTGTTTACAGTATCTGCAATAATCATTTAAGAATTTATAAGCAATTAAACATGTTAAACATATTTAAAAAATTGAGTCTCCTTTGTTAATATAATAATTAGATATGTTACCTTCAAAATTATCCCTCTTTAAGACATTCCCACTAAAAAAGAACCCCACATATTTATGGTTTCAGAATGTGAAAGTTATCTATAAATGCTCGACATCACCTAAGAAAATCACTGACAAATTCAGAAAACATAAGTCCTGTGGCTGATATAGAATCCCCTAGTCCAACTGTTTTCAGTGGTTGTTTACAAACTAACACAGGACTAAGAGCGAAGTGAAATCCGTCTTTTTTCCAGGTCATAATAGGCTGACTCTCGTTAAATGTCCTTTCTTTGTCGCCACTAAACAACTTGAACTGCTGCGGAAATTTCAAGGTCACGAGATCTGGGTCGGGAGATTCGACGTCGCACGCTTGGATCCCTGCGACCCTCGTCCCAGCTCCGACAGCTGATGGATTGTTCCGCCATGCTGACGAATGGATGCCTATGATGTGATAGGTCAGACAGTGGAAGTGAACTCTTGTCAACTTACGGGATGGGAAATCTTTAGAGTAGCCATGTGTCTTTAACACCCATGAAATAATATCACTGATTTTATGTATTTCTGGCTGGCCTTGAATGTTCTCAAAATAATCCCTATGGGGTCCTTTTGCAGCATGGGACAAAAATGTGATTTCTTGTTCATTTAATCCAAGGGAAGAAACTTTTGAAACAATCTGAAATTCAAAAATACATTTGTGATTAATTGAATAAAGAAGTTGTTTTGTTCTTTGTTCATGATGTACACATGCAATTAGATGTTATTCCAGTAGGAATTCAAGAAAAAAATGTACCATAGTGTAGGAAATATGTTAAAAATTGAAGAATATGAGAAATTTGTGCTTTTACAACAACTGAAGTAAATTACCTGGTCAGCTATAGCTTTAACAAACTTCTGATTCGCCATACTTGCAAGTTCTAGATGCACTGGTGTTGTTTTCGGAATTTTCACCAGTTCATTTTGTATAAATAAAAGCTTCTGATTAAAAAACTCTGGTGACTGTCCCTCTAAAAGGTGAAGCCCTGAGAGAATAATCAAGTCTGGATTGACCTTATTTGAGTATTCAAAGAAGCTTTCTATCATTGTTGCCTTAGAATTAGATTCATCAAAGCTGGTGATGAATCGAGTCGCCACTGGTGCTGTGTGATTTCCCCAGGACTCCTCCATGTGGTATTCCATAATCAGGTGAACTTCGTCCTTTGGTATGTGACTCATTTTCGGAATAGTTATGGATTTGGGGAGCAATTCCAACAACTTTGGACCTACAGGCCCAACCAAATGAAGCTACAAATACCAATTGACATATCAGAGAAAAATATAATATACATTTATAAACTATGATTATAGAGACTCCCACAAGTAAAATTGACTATTAAAAGTGTTTTGGTGAAATTGACAAGTTACTTTAAAAAATACCTCTGCATTTGGAAATTCTTGGGCAATTTTGTTTCCAATCAAAGCTGCATTACCTCCAATGAAAAACTGTGATGTAAATAAGATCAATTAAAACAGCAAGAATTAAAAGGAAATCAAACAAGTGCGAAATGGATTTCAATACTGTGTGTACAATGTGCAAAACCCAAACTAATATTAAGTTTACCTGAGGGTTGGACAGTTTTTCTGCCTCTGAAACAATTTTTCTGAACAAATCAGCATCCATAAATGCCCTCTCGGCAGCTGACCCTTTTTTGAAGAAGTGTGAGAAAGTTTCTTGGAGATGATCCAGAGTAAAAAGCTGGTCATGGTTGAAATCTTCCCCAGGAGATATATCAAGCTGTTGAAGCAGTTCAACACCAGGAACAATCAGATCTACATTGGAGTTTATTCTGAAAGAAGCATAATGAATCATATTCATAAACATATAACAACAACAAAAATTAACTGCACATTTACTTGATTATACAAAAACATCCTATATAATAAAATTAAAGCAGAATTCTTGATCATGTCTGGAGTAAGAGAATAAAACACTGAAAATTAGAATTCAATAGCAAGCCAGAAAAATATTTTCATAAAAGGTCTGATGACTGATAACAACAAGTTTCAAAACCCCCTTCTAAAATGGCTAAAATAAGCACTTTGATTTTCATATTTGATGAATATTTCTGACCCAGAGTATAAACCTGTTGGTATATGTGGACAGTCTGTATACATGTACCAATAAATCTGAAGAACTTCCCTGTTTAGAAGTTTCAAAATGCTTAAGCTGACTTTTTTTAAATCCCAAATTTTGATTATTTTTCTTTCACATTCCAACAAGTTAGCAGATTAAGTGCACAAGTTCAACCTGCTGCTGAAACAATGATCCATCTGCATATAATTTAAAGAACCCATGGAATTACCCTTGACTAGTTTCATTTTGCATGGTCTGGGTGCAGTTTTCATTGAATTTCATTTAGCTCTTCTCAGGCACAGACTTAACAATGACATTCAGTAAAAGAGGAGGGTGCTATATATTGTTGTCGTCAGTTTTCCCGAACTTAACATACGAGTGTAAAATGTAAACATGAAAAACACGTGTCATCTTACCCAACAAGTAATTTCCTGAATTGATTTTTAGGCAATGAAATACTTTCTGACCAAGATGATATAATTTCCTGTTCAATTTCAGTGTTGTCTGAAATTTGATTTTTGTAGACAATGTATCCAATGAATACAGAAAGCACAAGAACAACCACGGATTTAGCAATCATGTTGTTTTCGTGGTGCCGTGGAACTCAAGCAGGAAAACTCGGTGCAAGAAAATAATTCACCGTTTTATCAGTAATATCAAGTTACTCGTTCGAAAAAATTATTTCAAGGAATATATATTGAAATTTAATTGATTTATTTCACTTCATACTTTCTTTTCAAATAAAAACTAGCCTTTGAATTTATTTTATTGGTAAAAATTATATCATTGCGCGATACAATCAGTAAGTTGTACCGAGTTTAGTCGAGAACAAACAGCACGAGTGCTCCTTATAAATAATTTAAATAACCAATAACATTAACCATGATTAGAAATTAAAAAGACTGTGACACCTGCATTGATTTTATAGTAGAAGGATAGGGCCTATATAGCATTTTTTAACATAGGCGCTTGGTTTCAGGAGTGGTGTATTTTGTGTATTTAAGTGTTTTTTCTACATGTAGGTGTGTCTGAATACCCTCATCAAAATAAAAAATCGCCGAAATTAGCACGTTTTAGAAATGTCATATTACTGTATATAAAAATATACCATCCTGAAACCAAGCTATGGTCAAACTATGGTCATAGATTCAGTAATAGGAAAGACCATTATAAACGGTTTAAATTGAACCATGGCATTGAGAACCCGTTATGCATTTAAGTCTAATAGCTTACATGTATGAGACCCAAATGCTGCTAGGTTTACACTTTACAGACTGCTTATGTGTAAACAAACTTGGAATCTCAACCAACCCCCCCAACCCGCACTCACAAGAAATGAAGTTTAGGCGTTTTTATGCTTATCATTCTTTTTCAGTGAAGAAAAAAACTTAAAGCAATCCTTTACTTACTTTTAAATCATCAGTCTGAGTTGAAAAAAGCCCCCTCCCCTTTCCAGAAACAAATAGTTGTCCGCTAGTTAGGTACATTTTTTTTTCACATGAAACCAACTTGCAAAGTTACTTAATTTTCAAATTGTTAAACGAATATAATTTTAAACTACATACATGTATGTGCAACTTTTTTTTTTATTTTGTAAAAAACAAATTAAACATCATGTAACAAAAAAGCAATTTTTTTTTTACATCACAACATATTCGATCAGTCTGTAATGCATCACATACAAGCACAAAAAAAAATAATTATGTTCCTCATAGGACAAATCAATGTTCGTCTGTCTGTTGTAAGTTTAAAGATTGAAAGCTGTTACTCCGCAATGAAAGAATTTTATCATCATTCTATAACGGTACACAAAATTCCATTCGGTACTTTAGACTTGAAGAGGAACATGTAGACATACATTGTTACGTGCTAAATACGTTCAATTCCGAGATTGTGCACGTGTTTTCAAAAGCTACCCAAAACAATACGCAGAAACAGATCCAGACTGAGAGAAAACACACAACTCTGGCCCTGGGGAAAATCAGTCGGCAAAATTTATATTGTATTTAAAAACCAACTAGGATTTCCATCTTCGTCTAGATCTGGTATCATATATCGCTTGCCTTTAAAAGCAAACATGGATGCACTAAATTTGTTTTGTGTCGATGTTGGCTGTCCGAAGTCTTCAGTTATAGTCTCTGAACTTACTGCCGGTGCCAGCAGAGGTCTAGTCTCAGATGGTTCGGACCACGACTGTCTCTCCCCAGATGCAAAAATTCCATAAAAGACAACCCCCGCTAAATGAATGGAAGCGGCAATGGTGAATAGTAATTGCCAAGATTCGATATTCTGTTGAAGAAAAATGGTAAACGTACATTTACAATGTTAATGATTGCATTGAATTTTCTTTCAATTCGAACACTACCTCTAGCAGACTGTATATATTGATACATGTATATAAGTTTCCCATACAAAGTCTTTCTTGAATTTTAAAAATAACATTACCGGTTCTGCTAACTTCCCTGCCACAGCCGTACTGAGAATGGCGCCCAGGGTTCCAAGTCGAGAGAGGCCCGTTAAAATGCTGACGTACTGCGGGGCGAGATCCAGAGGGTTTACTTGATAACCAGAAATGGCTAATCCACTGAAACCCACCCCTACACACAACAGTACGAGGGCTACCTCATCACTGTTTACAAATCGTAGCCCTAACAGACAGAAAGCCTCTATTCCAAACCCTAGAATAGACGGACGGAAAAAATAGTAAAAAGTCATGTGATGATATGTATTTTCCATAAGTGTACGAAGCGGAATAATTATAGTAGCAGAGACCTTCTAAAAGGGTTAGTGTCTCTGAATTACATATATATACTTGCAATCATGTTTATCATGAGATATATAGAGATACTGAGCAATATTCAAAAGTCCATTCAAACAATACAAACCAGGAGCACACCAAACACGGACCTCTAAAACATCAGACTTTGGATCCGATGCCATGAAGGAGTGAGCATCCCCTGCCGACCACTCACTTCAACCGTGTGCTCAGACTATTCTTAAAGAACTTTCCCCCTGTTTTAACATTAAAAGGTTTTATTAGACTAACCCATGCACTGTGCTAGTTTTCTTCCATGAGTTGTGGACACTAGATGGTGTTTTATCAGTTTATCGATTAGAACACCTCCCGAAATCGTCACTATTGTCATCAAGACTTCCGGTAACGCTGCTGTGAATCCAATCTATGAAAAAAATAAGAAATTGAGGTTTTTCTCTTATGCGTATTTTATGCGTACAAAAAGCTCTAAAATACGTTCGGTATATAGATTTTCATCTACATGGATACCCCGAGAAGCTTTATATTATTAATTTGTTGGTGATACAGCTGATACATGTGTTACAGTCAACTAGGCGATGACACACTCTCTGTTCACCAGCATTCTTTCAACAAATTCGTACTTGGGCCTCTGCCTCGAAAAGAATGTCTTAGTTTCATATTTATGTCCCAGATAAAATTTCATACTTCTGAATCTTATTACGGAGGTAAATTATTAAATACAAAATGTGATTTTAAAATCTGGAACACAGGTGTAACGTAGATCTATAAATGTTTTTTTAAAAATGTAATTTCTGCAAAAAATGAAAGGGATAAATCTCCAGACGAAGACTTTTTATAAAAAGACGTGTAGACAAAATGACGAGAAGGATAGTTCATTTAAACCTTAGCTTAGTTTTCAAAAAGGCAGGGGACAGGGTGAGTGTTAAGGAGGAGGTTTCAAGTAAAGTGTGACAGATGAACGAAAGTGATTTATAAATTTCTTGAAGGTAATTACGAACTCACTGTAGCAATATCCTTCTTGAAGGCATCCTTGAAGTATTGTGGAACCTGTGTTATCATCATAGAAAAAATCCAGTTTCGACAAAAACTTCCAAGAATGATGGCCCATACTGGTAAAGATCGTAAAATTTTGGTCCAAGGAATCTCCCTTGCCTAAAATAGCACGGATAATTTTTTAGTGTATTAAGTTTCGTATAAGGTACACACCCTACTTGTGGTAAAAATAAGTAGGGGGTGTACCGTATACGAAACAAGTACCTGTGATTAGGAATCATCAATTACATAATTATATGAACAAACTTTGATAAAAATTTATGACTTGTTTTTGGAATTAAATCAAATTTACCACACTCTGGGATCCTCTGGCAATATTAGCTCCTTCTCTTGCAAACAATTCCGCTTCTGAATGGTGCAAACTTGGGTGGAGACCAGGAGTATCGTAAATTGCACACACCCATACAACGGACCAAATGAAACCTATTCCACCTACAAACATTTGAACAAAAGAAATACTTGAACAACCATACGATGACCCTCTTTACGTTTTTAATTTTTTTATGCTTTTATTTTATTTTGACAATTTGAGCAACTTATGCATGTTTAAAAGTTTTCACGTTTTTGTATGAAATTTTAATCTAATTTTATACTTGAAAGCAACACTGTGAATTTTTTTTATACAACAATTGTTTCTAAATGAAATATACATATATATATTGCTCCAACTTAAAAGTACGAGATAATTAAAACTCAGAGTACTCCAAAACATGTACGAGTTGTGCATTATTAGTTATCCAGGTTCAATCAAGGGTGTACGGGGATTTACCCCGAGTTGTATTCCATACTCCCTTCGGCCGATTTACCCTGGGTTTTATTCCATACACCCTGAGGCCGAAGTTTTACCCGGGGTAAATCCCCGTACACCCTTGATTGGACCTGGATAACGAATTTATTTCCTATGTACCCAAATAATTCTTAATAAAACTGCGTATCAAGCTATCGATATAAGATTTACTACATCCTTCAATGCATATAGTGACGTCCTGTTATTTGCTTTCTATCATAGAAAAACAATGCATTGTGACGTCATGTTTTTTACCCCCCAGCTGAAGTCGGGTGTACGGAATTTTACACCCGACTTTGTAACCAACCAAAGCTCGTATTAGAAGCTAGACAGGAAATAATATATTCAATATTAAGGTGGACCCTCTCAAAGAGCGATAATTCTAACCATTTAAATTGCTACAATTCCTTTACCTATTTTGTCAATTTAAAAGTTAATATCAATTTTTTTTCTCCGCATGGTTTTCTGAAACTTTAAACATTTAAAGATTTTGCATGTAAATAAAACTTCTGTCAGAAATTCATTATCTTTAAAGCATTTTTGTATGAGTGACAAAGAAAGACAAACCTTAAAAGAAAATTAACGTATACTTCTGGACCCATTTCCTGGTACAGGTGTTTTACTTTAATATGTTTGTACTTCAATTGTTATACGAACCGTAGAGGAATAAGCTTGCGTTCCAGGACACCCAACACGAGGTTACACCAGTTATCACCATAGCTAGGGCCGGGCTCAGGTACGCCCCTAATGATAAAGATATAAAGGTGATTTTAAGGATCGTTGGTTCTCTTATAAGAAAGATAACTCTCTATGTAATAACGAATAACTAGAGCATAATTGACAAATTAAAAGGCTACTTTCATTTAATTGTTTGCATGTGATTTATAAATTGGATCTTTTCGAAAATCATTGACGCAATCTAATAAAAAAAAAAGTTAGATTCGTTCGTTAAGCTACCGTTAGTTTGTCATTAACGTTAAATTAAAAAAAACTATATGAGCGAAGGGGGCTTTTAATTTTAACACTTATTGCTGAAAACTAATTTTTGGATAGTACATTCACTGAAAGAAAAACCTAGTGAATTAAACTAGTGTGTTTCGTAAAGCGTTGGTCGTGATTAGTAAACTTTCAGTTTACTGGTAAAGATAGTGAGTTATGGAGCGGGGGTTACTTAGATACCTAGTGAAAGTTACTCATCAATTCTAAATTTACTAATCTTATCTAGTAAATATACCAATATCTGGTAAAACTACTATTAAGGTAGTGATTGTATGGACAGTGAATCTTCTAGTTTTCTTCGTGACATTAACTACTTATTTTTTTACAGTGTTGATATTCGTATACTATAAGCTACTGGATAGTTTTCTTTTTTAGATCCTGTTTGAGGAAAAAATGTTGATATATAATCAGTGTTGTTTTTTTTTTTTAAATTAAACGTAACAATTTTACTCTACTTGAATTTTGGAATGTGACACTTTGATTTAACTTCCGGTTTACTACTCAGTTTTATACTGGTGTTATATCTAATTGAATTATTTCAGGTATTTAATAATGAAAAGCTTGAGGAATGCATATTTTTTCGTGTGTTCTGTACCGTCAGCACAATATGTACAGTAATTAAATACATCTATCTATTTGAGTGAAGAATTACAACTGTACATATTATAATGTATTATTGAATCTTTGGTCTTTTGCCGGTCACATACTGTTTATCCTGACACATCTATCTTTCATAGGCGTCGGAACACACCTTACCTTTTTAATACTTTTTTTGCTACTTTTACTTTCAATTGCATATATCCATTGTACTTTTATATTACATAAATATTACTGTATAAATGAATGATCTTCATGGGGGGGGGGATAAGATGAACATGTTTACTTTGTGCATGAATACTTACCTGCATACACAACTGTGACCATTCGGCTTTTCTCGGACTTGGGCGCCCAGGCAGATATCACACCATTCATAGCGGGTACCGACCAGCCCTTCCAAAATAAGACGAGATCCTTATATTAGGGGCACATACATCTTTTTGCAATGTCTGTATAATATCCCTACATCCACAGAAATGTATCACAGTACAAAAACTGAAATGTGTTTCGTGCCATGGGTGATTTTATTTTACAAGATAAAATGAATTGATACAACATGACAGAAACTTATACGGTACCTCTACTAGTCCTTGTAGAAAGCGTATGACAAACACGGGGATGGGGGTGGTGAGATATTTGATCGGGAACGGTAATACAATCATTAGAATACTGCTTATCATAATGGACAGACCACATACTCTACAAAAAAAAAAAATTGAATAGTAACTTAGATCTGCCGTTAGACCAACAACAAAGAGACACTTTTGTGTTGGGTCATCAATTTTCGCATCCACTCAATGTTCGGGTTCTTGAATCTATACACTTTAACGTCGTCCCATTGCAACGTGTTGACCCAGGACCCCTGAAGTTGTGAAGATTCAATTTTCATTAACAAAGCTAAAACACTAATGTCATTATATCATTGCAATTAGTCTGTCATTGCACTATACAATAAACATTTAATAAGTATTTCTTGGATGTTTTTGACGATGTTTTTGAACTTAAAAAAACTACATTGTAGGATCTTGTAGAAAAGGCAGGCTTACGCTTTAGCTTACAAGCACTGCTTATCGAACACTCGTATTTTTACCTTCTGGGTGAAAATCGAGTTGCCAAATATCCCCCGGGTAACTGCATTATAAAGGAACCGAAGAAATAAGAAGTCTGAAAGTATTGCGCCTCTCTACTAGTCCATCCCGTTGCCATAAAATCCCGAGAGGTTCCGTTCACAGTGCACTAAAATAGGAATTTTCAAAATACGTATGCGATTTTGAGATGCAGGGGGCCGTTTTTCAAAAGAACTTACGAATAAGACCAAAAACTCAAGTTGATTGTAAAATGTTGCAAAATTAATGATTGTTATTAAAACCACTGTCATGAAAATATCTTTGCTACATTCGTTTTATAAAGTTTATTACTTTTTCAATTTCATGCAAATAACAAGTTTATAAGCAAGATAAATTTTGGTCTTAGTCGTAAGTTCTTTTGTAAAACGGGCCCCTGAATCTTAAAAAATAAAATTAATACAAATTGCGTAAATTTCGCATAAAATTGACTTATCTACATGTATGTCATTTTGATTATGTATTAAATAAGAAGTGTCTTTATTGATTGTCTACTTGGGATTTCTTCCGCAAAATGTTACCTTTGTTATCTTATATCATATGCATAATTTTGTCTCTTTTTATGAAATACTATACTTAAACTTCTATACGTAAGAAATATCATTTAAAGATCGAATTATTCAATTGACTTTCCTTATATTTTATGAAACTTTATGCAGATGTCATAATATAAAATGAAAATTCTAGTATTCATTTCAATTTTTTTTAACATCTCATAGAGGCACTTTTCGATGTTTCTCACCTTTCCGAAGAGTCCCTCGTTACTTTGACTTGTTTTGATGATATGGACCATTACCATAGAAAATACAGAGCGATATCCAATGGATATCAGAAGTCCCATAAATCCAAGAAATACAATAAAAATTCGTCTTTGGAAAGCCATCCCGACTGTCGATCGCTAACCTTCTTACACTATTAACTTCACATTGTGGTACACTTTCGCCTTTTTTAATATATCTTCCTCATTCATATATCGAAATTAGACTCGTTAAGATATGGGAAACCCGCGTACTTGTATATGTTAATTTACGGAAAACTTTTAAGTAGGCTGTTCCCCTATCCATTTTTCAAAATGACAATGAGTTTTGAAATATGTACTTTTTTATATATAAAGTAATTAAACGACCACTTAAAACGATACTAGAAGCTTAGAAGCCTGCTTTTTCACTCATAATTGTCTGTGTGTTTGTCTGTTTGTATACACGTGATATCTTAAAACTTCAATGAAATTTTAGGGTGAAAATGTATGCCTTTGGATATGGGATGGAAATCATTACTCTTGAAGTGGGTCCTTTTAATGGATTACAATGTCCCACTACAACCTTCAGTGACGAAGAAGTAAATTACATGTACTTAGTATACTTAGATTTACAAAGGTATAGGCGCAGTGACGTAGCATTTTTTTTGAAAGGGGGGCAGGCATGGAAAAAATTTTCAACTATCCAAAAAAATGTTGAAAATCCTATTTCGTGTGTGTGTGTTGGGGGGGGGGGGCTTTTCTTTCCATACCAATTTTTTTTACCACACAGTTTACTAAATTCCACTGTACTGTATCAAAACTTGGGGGCGGGGGGCAACCTGACTCTCATATACCCAGTTTCTAAATATAAAGTAGTTATTATCCAATAAAATGGTAGTCACAGTGGTGTCTCATTGAGTGATGAACAAGCTAACAATACAGGATTTCACAATCACCTGATACTTGTAGGTGTATGTACTTTTTGTTTGTCCCTAATTAAGCTGATAATCAAGACCAAACATTTCCATAAGTTTCATAGTTTTCAGTAAATAAATTTCTTTATTATTAGGTCATGACGAATAAACATCTATTAATACTTCAAGTATTATTCATATAAAATCCCATCATTTTTTAATGAAAGGTGCTTAGAGTTATCTTTAGAACTTTAATTAATTGTTTCTTTAAGAGGATCTAGAAATTTGACGAGGCCTATGGGTTATAACGCTCATCTGGACCTGTTGTTCTTCGTGTCAAAATTTTGTCATGTTTTGATTCCATATTGTTGCCCCAACCTACCCGAAGGGGACTTGCTTTGATTGATTGATTGATTGTATATATTGTTTAACGCCGGATCAGAAATATTTCAGTCATATTTTGGCAGAGGAACATGAGTTAATCAATGTAAGGTAGATCGCGGGTTTGCTGACGTCACAATAGGATTTGACGTAAAAAGCTTAGGTCTGCATTCAGATTAGCAAGCAAAATATATCTTCAGCAGTGCTGTATATATGCAGTAAAAAGTGAAATGTATATTAAAGGTTGTTTGGTGTATTAAAATAATTTTTGTATGTAATTGAGAATGAATGATGTTTTGATCAAGGTTGACTTTTACATTATAAGTAGTTTTTAACGCTGATATCTGTTGTGTTTACGTACCTTTCTTAAATAGTATTGCCTAATTGTTGATACAATACAAAAACAGATCTACTGCCGGTGTGTCTGGCGCCTGTCCTGCAGTTTAATTTTATTGTTCAATTAATCTTATAGTTGTTTCCCCACTTTACTCCGAGGCACTTAAATTTGAAAATTTAGAATTTTAACTACTCAAGAAAGCTGTCAAACAAGTTTCACCATTTCTGGCCCAGTGGTTCTTGAGGAAGAAATTCCCAAAGATTTTCCCTATGTATCATTGCCGGTATTTCAGTATAAAACTTTGTTTCCCCTGTTTTAGCCTCCACCCTACCGCGAGGAGCCATGATTTGAATAATTTAGAATATACACTATGTACTAACCTCAGGTTGCTGTCACACAAATTTCGCTATTTCTGGCACAGGGGGTCCGAGTAGAAGACTTTTGAAAGATTTTTTCCAGCATACATGTATATTTCAATGTAAAACTTTGATTCCTTATTGTGAGCAGACCCTTCACCCGGGGACATAATTTGAATAATTTAAAATCTTAACTATCTTTGGAAGCTTCCACGTAAGTTTAATTATTTCTGGCCAAGTGAATCTTAAGACGAAGATTTTAAAGGATTTTTCCGCTTTATTCCAGTATATTGGAAGTATTTCAAATTATCAATATAAGAATTTGATTCCCTATTGTTGTCCCACCATATCCCAAGGCCAATAGATGATCAGAGCTATTTAGATTCAACAATACCTTAAGTATCTTCCACTTAATCTTCAATTTTCCTGGTTCAGTTGTATTCGAGAAAAAAAATGTGTTAATGACCCAACCCCATTCTTTCCTTTGTCTTTATTATTTCCCTTGTAGGGTGAATTTTTCCTTCATTTTAATAAATTTCAAATCCCCCTCAAATGCTCTGCACAAACTTTCGTTTAAATTGAACCAATGGTTCTTGGGGATTTGAAAATTACAGATGGACGGACGATGGATAATGGATGATCAGAGAAGCTCACTTGAGCTTCCAGTTCAGGTGAGCTAAAAATTGGTTCGTATACCACCTCAAAACAAATGAAGATCTGCATTCAATTTGTTTTTGTTTGCAACTGTAAAAAAAAGTATACCATCATGTACATCTACAAACAAAACAATGCAACATATGTAAAATAATATGATGATTTTTCCGCTTGTCTGGTCATGACAAATGCACCCCTCAGGATCCTTAATCATCCAAGCCACCTGATCTAACCCCTTGTTTTCAGATATTCGAATTTTCTCTGCTCACAGTTTAGATTGATTTTATTGAAGCTTTGAGTATAATAACAATTCTGAATCTTATAATTTCATGCATCTTCCTTCAACTGCGACTTTCAATATGTCAGTGTTTTTATATGCCACCGTTATTGAAGACTTGGGTTTTTTAAAATTAAAAAAATTTTTTTTTATAGTTTTTAAAAGTATTTTGCACTGTCCGTCTTTGTCCGCAAAAACTTCATCCATATCTATAACTTGATGGGAGCTGAGGCTTTGATATTTCACATTTCCTGTGACAAGACCTTTCTATGGGTACCAGCGCATCTGATTTTTTGAAATTGGAAATTGAACCACTTTAGCAAAAAATTTGCAATAATTTAACCTTGGCTATAAAAGTTGATGTTAGGGATTTCATTCTTCATATTTGATCTTGACCTTAGAGTTTGACTTACTTAATATAAAAAGAAAACCCTACAACTACTCAAAAGTTACAGTGTATGACCAAGGTTAAGTTCCTTTGGATATCGATTTTGACCTTGGAGTTTGACCTTTTGACCTTTTGAAAAAAAAATTAACCTTGGCCATGACTTTTGAACAGTTAATGCTAGAACGTTCACATTTGATGTGTATTTTTTGTGACAAGGTTTATCCTTGTGTACAACATTGGAACCCCTGGTCAAAACTTTTAAATAACTGGTGCTTTCATATTTCTTGGGTCTAGATCCTTTTCCTCTAACATATTTTGCATAGGAGTTATTCCCCTTAGCCACAATCTTGTAGGGCAAAGTAGTGAATTTACCTCTTTGAGCAACCAATTTTAAACATGCATGCAAGAAATATATAGGGAAAAAAATTCTACAATCTCAAAATTATGAATTAATAGAGGCTTTAACAAACGTATAGTCATAAGAAAAATAGTGTTATCTTTACTTCAGTAACCAGTATAACAAATTGAACTTGGTTAAATAATGAAGGGGATCTGGGAATGTTGCCCAACAATATAGCGGCTACGGGGAATAACTCCTAGGCAAAGTATGTCACAGAAAAAGGGTCTATATTTATTGAGACAAGTCCTCTCTTTGGGTAACATTTTTAATCTTGACCTTGAAAAACTTTAATCCTCATCATACGCTGCCATATGGAGGCATTCAGTATTTCTAAAACACATCTTTTTGTATTGATGCACAAAATGTAACCACTGACAATGATCAGTTCTAAGATGTGTTATTGCTGGAAAGAACAATTAACCCCCCTTTTACTTGTTTCATATTTAATTGATTGTGAATAATTGAAGTTTACATGAATTAGCCTACTCTGTTCAATTTTCTACATACTACTGTATACAGGGAAATTTTCGCTCCCATTTTATTTTCGCCCCTTTAGTGCATCCCTCATTTGGGCAAATTAAAAAAGAGCGAATTCAAAGAGTATAATTTCTGGAACAAAATTATGATTGGGTGAAATTAAAATGGGGCAAAATTGTTTGCAAGAGTGAAAGGGCGAAAATAACCCTGTATACAGCATTTAATCAGATATGCACACTATTTATCTGTATGAATGAGTAAAAAATAAAGTTTTAAACTTGCCAGCTACCATAACAGTTCAAAGTCGGTGCTTCTTAATTAAATATCTACAGGTCAAATTACTATGTAATGTATCATGCCTGAAGAAAATGAAAAAAGAAGTTTTTACAAATATAAAAAAATAAATTTTAATCAGCACTTTTTTTCTCTACAGCAAATGGAGTATCTACAGGAAGTGAACCACAATCTTTTATAACAACTTCCTCTTTTGGCTTATCACCACCTGCTGTTGGATTTCTTTCAATTTTTCTTACTACATCCTAGAAGAAAATAAAGTTAACATAGAATTTAGACAATTAAAATCTTTTAATTCTATCATCTAAAACAAAAATATAAATCTACTATATACAGTTGAACACCAGTATGTCAAACACTGAAATCTGGAAAATTGATATGTCAGATTGAAAGTCTCAACCACTTAATTTCTTATGTATTACTGTAAAATCACAGATTTTCGAGGCGTCAAATTTTCGTGGTTTGAGGAAAATAAATCGGTTCATGGGGATTTGAATTTGTGGTTGGAGAATTGTTCAGTAGTAATATATGTGAAAAATTTCATTTCGTGGTGGACATAAATTTGTGGGTCTCTTCATACCTTGAAAACCATGAACATTAAACTCCCATGAAAATTAGTGATTTCACAGTAAATCCTTTATAAATATTTCAAATACTCAGATATCTCAATGTTTTTTCTTGCTCCCATTGAATTTGAGTTAACTAAGTTTGACTGTAAACTTGAAATAGCAAAAATCTTAAAATTTCCCATATAAAACAAAATTAACCAAAAAAAGCCTTCAGTTTCTTTATATTTATCAATGATTACCAAAAAATGCATTTGGATATAAAGTAAAACTGGTCAAATCTGAACGTTAATGGTTCCAAATAAATTGGCCGGATTAAACAACCTTTCAGTTTAAACAACTTATTAAACTATCAAATTTACTGAAAGTGACTTAAAAATTTAGATCGTATTAAACAAGATGTTAGTTTACACAGCATCAGGATTAGACAAGTTTCACTATAAAATCATACCATGCCCTCCAGGACTTTCCCAAATACAACATGTCTTCCGTCCAGCCATTCTGTTTTCTTGACTGTGATGAAGAACTGAGATCCATTTGTGTCCTTGCCGGCATTAGCCATGGAGAGCCAGCCAGAGCCATAATGCTTCAGCTTAAAATTCTCATCAGCAAACTTCTCTCCATAAATACTTCTCCCTAAAATTACATAAAATCATGTTTACCTGTATGACAATATAAACTGACATCCAAGAAGTACCTATATGAGTTGAAATTCAATTCAGAGTGTCAAGGATAAGGATCCAGTGAACATTTACCATATTCATTCTGATTTTTTAAAAAATATTTAAGAATTGTCATAATTCTTAAATGCTTGAAAACAAAAAGCAAACTAATATAAATGATTTTGGCTGCTTAAATAACAATCAATTTAGCAAAGAAGATAGGACAAGATATATGTTGTATAGCCTCCAAGTTTTTAAAGAAATAATTGACTTGTAAATAAAAAGATCCCTTAATATTTTAAAAGTTGTAAATATGATTTCCTGTTAGGATTAGGTATACCTTAGAATTACATGTAATATTTTTTTAAGAGAGGGCAATGAATGGTTCTTGTCCTATCTTGTTCTTTAAATCTTTGGTTTGACCTGAAAATATCCTAACTGTGTTGAGGGCTTGTCTGGACAATGGATTATTCTAGCTACATGGGTTAGTGAACAAAAACTTCATATATTCCCTACCCCCAGTTCCATCTCCCCTGGTGAAGTCCCCTCCCTGGATCATGAAGTCTGGAATCACACGATGGAATTTACTACCTTTGTAAGTCAGCTTTTTACCATCTCTCTCCTACAAAAGTGCATATAATATTGATTCAATACTTACAAGACATAGATCTTTGGTAATATACATTGATGAACAGCTTTTATGAGAATGCATATGTTGTCTTTTACAGAATAGAACAAAGTTAAATACCTCTGTTCCTTCTGCAATAGTTTTAAAATTTTTCACAGTTTTGGGGACGGTTTTACCAAACAACCCTATCACTATCCTCCCAGCATCTTTTCCTCCTATTGTGATATCAAAGTAAACCTACAAGGAAATAAAACAAGACAAATGAAAAAGAGTCGCAAGAAACAGAGTGACCTATTAAAAAACAGCTTGCAAAATAAGTTAAATTCAGTACTTATAGTGCCAGCTTTAATGCAAAGATATTGTGCAGTCATCCTTGACTTTATTTCCTCTTCGACTAGCTTGGTATAGAATTACATGTAGAGAGGTATTACTTTACTTTTGAATTAACATTATGACTATATTAGCCCACCGTACTAACTGTATAAAATACAATTTCTTAACAATAGAGCTAAAATTTATATCATGTGCACTGTTACACAGTCATATACCTGTAAACATTAAATGGCATATGAGCCACCTGTAAATGTAATATGGGTACAGTCAGTGTGCAAGTTGTACACGTGTTTATTACTTACTTTGTCTGTGACTTTGGGCCCCTTGGGCTTGTCATCACCTAAGAGACCTGGGACTATCAGAAATAAGGCTAGAGCACTGAGGACAAGCATTATGACTATAACTTTCCTGCGCCAAAGCAGAGATACGACTTTACTCAATGAAAAACCTATGGCTTTGCTTGACTGACTACACCGGTGTTGTTTGTCTAAACCGGAAGACCGGGTTCTGAGTTGTAGCAATTTGATTGGTTGTTATTGACTCCTATGGAAAGCCAGTGGGTATTTTATGAAATACTAGTTAATCGGTAAATTCAAGATATTAAAGCACTACTCTTGTTTAAAAATAAACACTTTTTGTTTTCTGTCTGCTCCTACTCCATTTTTTGAAATTAAGACGATTTGTTATATTTAAAAATCGAAAAGTATCTCCTAATAAAGGGGCATTACTCTGTTATTCTTAATCAAAACTGTACAGTGAGCATTATACATATCGAACATTTTTGCAAGCTCAAACAACCCGAAATTATTTCATCCTTAAAAGACATATCTTCTTGTTGGGTCGTCTTTGTATTGTACGTCATTTGTAAACTTGAACATTTTCATTTTTTTATGTCTCTTGATAGGCCAGCAGACAACATTTCAAACTATTTCTGATACTTGCAACGTCTATGCCGTCTACTGATTTTTATTAGAAAATGAGACTAATTTTCAAATAGAAATCAATAAACGACAAATATAAAACATCAACGACATACTTATGAGTAAAAAAGTGAATTCAATTCTGCTTTCTACTCCCCCTAGGCTCCTAGAACTCTCTTCCCAAAGGGGTCTAAACCATCAAATTCAATGTAATTTTCAAAAATAAATCTCAAGTTAACAAATCACATCAGGGGTTAATTGATTTGCATGATTATAAAGAACAATTACCCTGTAATAAAATAAAAACTTAATAAATATGTTGTCTGGTTGCTACAGAATTGTAGCTCTCTGCCTGAAATATTAGGACATATAAAGCTTTTAATAACTGTCCAAATTTTCTCAAGTAGAGAGCGGGGCTACAGCTCTGCAGTTAGTTGTCTGGATCTTTGGCATCTTCGCTAGCCAAGGGTTTCCGATCCGATACCTACTCTTCAACCCTTGGCAGATTTAGCTGAAAATTTTAGAACTCGCGCAAACGAATTTGATTGGCTGCGAAGTCCGAGTCTACGCAAGGTTTTTACTAATCGACGATTTTCGGCTGAATTAAAGTCTGTTCGTGTTTTATGCAAAATAAGAGTAATATTTACAAGGGATGAAAGTTAGGACGTGATATATGCTTAAAAAACAAGGGATTAATTAATTTGAATTTTTTTCTTTTAATTATATATGTTTTCAAGAATTATTGAAAGGACCACATAAGTCCGTGTTCCGCATTTTAGGTGCGTCAATTTAAGCCAATCAAATGTCACGGCTCATTGATAATAATTGATACCGCAACAAGTAGAAAGTGGGGTCAAACTCTTGACTAAAAATCCACGACGAACAATATTTTCTACAACTTTTGAGGTGTGCCCACTGCCCACAGCTGTGTGAAGTTGTTTGGATATATTCCACATCAAATTGCATGGAGGTCGCCATATTGTTTTAAACGTCATATTGATCTACGTATGTTACAGCTATTTTCATTGGACAGATATTAAAGAGCTTCAAGGGACTTAACTCATTTACGGCGATAGGCGGCGCAATCAAAGTTCCCGTTTGATAGATGCCAAGGGTTGTAGAGTAGATTTCGGATCGGAAACCCTTGGCTAGCGAAGATGGATCTTTGGTTCAGTCCTCGAGCTGGGACTGGTAATATTTTTTGTCACCTAACCGGTAAGGGTATGCAAAAGTAGACATGATCTCTCAAAACAATCACACCAGACACACAGAACATACCCCCTGCGATGCGAACGTGATTGATTTTGGCAATGCAGCATTGTTGGTAGCTGCAGAACTGTAGCTCTCCGAAAAATATATATTGACAGACCGGAGAGCTACAGTGCCACCCATTGAAAAAACTGTATACTTATTGCGCACAAAAAAGTGCGCTGTTTCCCGATTTACTTCTCCATGTTTTTAAAACTGTCCCTTTGCTTACCGTATGTTCCTAACATATTCTTTGATTGCTTCCACAACAAAACATTCATTGTAATTGTTGTTAAAGGCCCTTCTGGGCCTGAAATTGAGATCATCGAAAATTTCGTCCATTTACTCTGCCATTTTGGTTTGAACGGTAATTCGGTACAGCACGCTCCGTGCAGATGTCGACTACGAGAAAACTTGATAAAGGGGGTAAGGAATATACCGTATTGAAATTCAGCTTTTTTCGCTATTGAGGTAAGGATTTGGAAGAATTGATCCAGAACCAAGCGAAACTTTTTGTGCTCAATAAATATACAGTTTTTTTCAATGGGTGGCACTGTAGCTCTCCGGTCTGTCACTATAAATTTTTCGGAGAGCTACAGTTCTGCAGCTACATTGTTGGTCAATTGTCATCTTCTCAATGCCTGGGGTCCCGCGTCAACATGTTGCCGTTTGACTCGGGACCCCTGGCTTGCGAGGATGGCCAATTGTATGAGTGTAACATCTGAAACATGCTTATGTCGCTTATCCAAAAAGAGAGAATCCCTTGCTTCTGGTCCTAGGGTGGGACATAGTTGATCATATACTAAAGATTAAAAAAATCTTTTGCAATATTTGAAGATTAAACAGACAGTCTATTTGCATCTTTTGTAAGCACTTAACTGTGTTTTTGAATGGTAAATAAAGATTTTATAATCAATTCTTAATGACTTGAAATTGCTATTCACGTTATTTTCAAATGATGTTTTAAAACAAAAATTCCTTGAAAAAAATTCCATAAATTTTTATGAAACATTATTCGAATTGAAAATCTAAATTTTGAATTCCTCGCGTAAATTAAAATCTCTTCTTCACTTGACTACGGAATATAGAATTTAAGACAAGTAATCTATTACAAATAAGAAGTGTAACTCGGTGATTTATTGCATTTTTATAACACAGGTGTTAAAATCGTTATGGGAAAGCAAATTTTATAAGGAAAAGTGATAATCAACAATCTGAAAATGAGCTGTAATAAATTCTAGAACTTGGCAGACAAGATACTCAATTTATGTAATAGTTTTATCTTTTCCAGACGCATGAACTTGAGTATTTTGATTTTATCAATCACGGTGTGAAATTCTGATAAACTCTCCTTGCAGGTTTATATCATACAGGATAAAGATCTGATAACCGAGCTTCAAGGAATTAAAACCCTTTGTTTGATACTATTGTGCATTAGACCTCTGTGTTTGATTCTCTTGTGCATTCATTTGTTAAACATGAAACATTTACGAGTCATTGTATTATTTCGCCATAAAGTATATTCTTATAAAATGATGCCCATCATGGATATTTCTGGCGTGTTTTCTTTGAAGGGGAAATTCCATTAGCATTGCAGTGACCGAAGAGTTCCAAATTGTCCGTTTCTTCAAAGTGGGTTAATAATTCGCAAAAGATGTTTAACCCTGACGTAGCTGCAGAACTGTGACTCTCTGCTTGAGAAAATTCGGACAGATAAAGCAGAGAGCTACAGTTCTGCAGCTTACCCTGACGGACTTATAACTCCGCACAAGAAAATAGGTCATTTTAATAACGATGATATAATCTTGCAATTTTCTGCATATCACTACATCTGTATTTCACAACTGCGTTTGCAAAACAGGCATGTGAGAAATGAAAAATTAAATATACAAGTAGTACATGAACTTGTGGAAGAAAAATAAATTATTCTCGGCCAAATACAAAGCAACTGTCATGCAGTACATGTACATAGTCATTTGGTATATATGTCTTTAAGAAGCATAAGAGCATGTGTTCGTAAGATATTTCACTTAAATGAAAGAAATATTTAATTAAAATTAATTTTAAAGATGCTACAAAGAAATTACTGAATTCCTCTATTTTTGAAAAGCGGACAGAATGTTACGACATCTTCAGTGAAGATGCAAAATAAAGGAACTTCTTCCAAGAGAGCTTTTCATTATATTGAATAAGTTAAACTTAAAAGATATCCGATATCCATTACGTAGCACAATTTTTTCCCCCATGAATTGAGATTTCGTGCGGTAATTTCGTGAAGCTCGACAGATAACTCTCAGGAAGTGGACTTTGATTGACTTTGTTAGCTCACCTGAGCCGAAGGCTCAAGTGAGCTTTTCTGATCAAAATTTGTCTGTTGTCTGTCGTTCTTGTCGTAGTCGTCGTCGTCGTTGTTGTAAACTTTTCACATTTTCATCTTCTTCTCAAGAACCACAGGGCCAAATTCAACCAAACTTGGCACAAGGTATCCTTGGGTGAAGGGGATTCAAGTTTGTTCAAATGAAGGGCCACGCCCTTTTCCAAGGGGAGATAATTATGAATTAGAGAAAAATGAATGGCATTTTAAAAAAATCTTCTTCTCAATAACCACTGGGCCAGGGAAGATGAAACTCATGTGGAATCATCCTCAGGTAGTGTAGATTCAAGTTTATTAAAATCATGACCCCCGGGGGTAGGGTGGGGCCAAAATGGCCGATCATAATTTTACATAGGAATATATAGGAAAAATCTTTAAAAATCTTCTTCTCAAGAACCACTGGGCCAGGAAAGATGAAACTCATGTGGAATCATCCTCAGGTAGTGTAGATTCAAGTTTGTTAAAATCATGACCCCCGGGAGAGCGTGGGGCCAAAATGGCCGATCAAAGTTTTACATAGGAATATATACAAAAAATCTTAAGAAATCTTCTTCTCAAGAACCATTCAGACAGGAAAGATAAAACTCATGTGAAATCATTCTCAGGTAGTGTAGATTCAATTTTTTTTTTATTATGACCCCCAGGGGTAGGGTGGGGCCAAAATGGCTGATCAAAGTTTTACATAGGAATATATTGGGAAAATCTTTAAAAATCTTCTTCTCAAGAACTATTGGGCCAGGAAAGATGAAACTCATGTGGAATCATCCTCAGGTAGTGTAGATTCAAGTTTGTTCATATCATGCCCCTGGCGGTAGGGTGGGGCCAAAGTGATCGATCAAAGTTTTACCTAGGAATATATAGGAAAAATCTTTAAAAATCTTCTTCTCAAGAAGTGATTGAGACAGGAAAGATAAAACTCATGTGAAATCATTCTCAGGTAGTGTAAATTCAAATTTGTTCAAATCATGACCCC